TTAAACATAAACAATTTACATTTTCATGAATTCACGATGTGCAATTCCTTATTCATCAACAACGTTGGATAGAACTTGTCGCTTTCCTGAGGCATTCACTTCTCAGGGTACCTATTTCAGCGTCTGTCCAACTAGAAGTGCATCAACTTTGATTTTCAACGTTCAGTTATTATATCCTTTAAGACCTATGAGATTAGAAGACGAATGCAGCTTCATTTTGTGCAAAAGACTTCGAATGAAAACTCTGGTTTCATGAGATTCTCAACATTGTGTACTTAATCTCTGCTCAGCTTAGAAAAGAACTTTCCTTTCTTCTGCTACAGTGTGCCTATTGGCCGAGTTATCCACCAACAGACACAGTTCAGCAGAACAACGCGAAGAATACTCACAAACGGATTTTGAAGTGGTTTTGATGCTGATTTTATATCTGCATTGCATCTCAAACAGTGGATTTAGTTGCTATTTTTTTCGACAGTGTTAATCGAAAATGTTTTTGAACTGATTTCTGCTCTTGTTCTCAGACGCCACTTTCCCATTTCGTCCGCATATGCTCCTGTTTTTCCCGTTTTTACATCGCGTTCTCTAGCCTTATCAATGACATTTGTATAGTATTTTTGTTATTCAATTAAAACATTTCCTTTCACCATTTATGCATTTTCCCATCCTTTGATGTGTTAATATGTTTTTTAGTCATCCATTCAATGTTTTTCTATTCCGATTTCCTTTTTAATAACCGTTTTACGCGTTTCCCTCATTTTACTTCTCACTCATATGGTGAAAAGTATGAGTAAAGTGCCCTCTCACTAAGAGTTTAGATTGCGATAAAACACCATCAAAGAGGTTTTCAACCTTCATCGGCAATAAAGAATTGCCGGCTAGATCAATTTTATAATGCTATCGCTTACTTGTTCACTTGAAATTCCGAGTGTTGAACGGTTACTAGAGCGAGCGATTCGTTATGCTGTTTCAAAAATATCAGTCTGCTAAGAGTGTCTCTATGTTTTATTGAATCACATCTTTCCTCACCGATCGAAAGCTTTCTCACAATAAAATTCATAAACTGCTAATTCATGAATAAATAATCTGAAGTAATATAAGGACTGCGAATGGAGGGGATTTTTTGTGATGTAATGAAAATGATGTCTGTTTGGCATGTGTTGATATGTCATGTCGCCTTATGGTATGCACTGATGCACTATCCTGCCCATTAAACTTCACTGAAATAGGTCATCCTTTGTAATATCTACCTCACAACTGAGGGAATATCTGCTTATCAAATTTCACTGCACTCAATAAATTCAGCACTCAGTATTGCATCACCAACACTGCATTCTCTACATAATACACCGTTTCCAATCGCATTTCCAACTGTTCGAATAACGAAGATTGTGATGTAATCAGTTCTAATCTTTGAACCGCACCAATGGACTCTTCTGCGAGCGAAAATCTCTCTTGTCAATTGATACATGGAAAATGAATTCATCGAATAGAAGAGATGCTTATTTGTTTGGATATAAAGCAATTCGAATTTTGGTCCGTTCATTTATTTTCATTCATAGTTCTGCTTTGTGCTTTTTATCAAGCAGGTGCATGCGTTTGTTGTTTGTGGAAAACGTCAAACGAAATTGATATCATTCATGAATAAATGATCATTCTGTTCTAGAAAAAATCACTGTGTGATGATGGAGTGTTTATTTTTGTGCCGTATTCATTTCACTGAATAATCAACAAAAACGCTGCAAAAAGCTGAATGTGTAAAAATTGAAAACGTGTGCAATGTGAAATATCCATACAAATCTATTTGGCAGACATGCGTTATGAAGTTTGTAAAATGCGAGGCCCGATTATTTGGATCAAACATCATTCGTAATGTTGCGCTAGTAATAACTGGAAATTTCAACTGAAATTTTGGTTTGAAGAGAGACAGGGAAAAACTTCGTCAACTGCAGTTAGTAAATGACCGAACTTGTGGAACATCTTCGGTTTGTTAGTATTGCTATGCATGGATTTACTTTGCATCTTTGCACACCAAACATTCCCGGTTGAAACATTTCAAATGATCTAATATTGAATATAATAACGAACAGTCCGAATGTCTCGCTAAATCTCATTTCACGTACACTCTGTTGCACTTAAAAATAGTTTCTCGGTGTTCGAAAAATAACACTGAATTTTCATTCTGAATGTTACTGCAATGACCAAGTTACTCACAGTCAAAGCTTTTTTTGACCATCCCATGTTGATTCAGCTGTTAATTACACCATTTTTATAAAGGTTTATGGGATGAATAAACTAATAGCTTGTGTTAACATACAATCAAGCGATCGTTACTGTAAGATTTTGGTTGTTTGGTTTCATTCCTTCAGATGTTCTGGTAATGAGATGTAAAATACTGAGCGAAAAGTGACTGTATCTTAAAGTTGCAGTGGTAGAGCTGAATCAACATGTATTAAGATCCGGTGAGAGAACTGGAAATATATTTTCATAACATTTCTGATGCGAAAAACTCCACTTCAGACTAAACTGAAGCTAATGGGAAGACCTAATCAGAACTCAGCTTTGATTGAAGTTTATCTAAAGCACTTTGGATACGACGCTATTCGGGTTCATCATGTGAAAAAAATCTGCATAGGTATTGCTTCGCTTAATGCATTTCTATCAAGATCTTCAACTTATGAACTTCTTGATAGAAACTCAACAATTTTCCAGTCAGTTTGTGAAAATTATTCAAAAATTATCCATTTTGATATGAGTTGAACAAGGAACCGATGTGAAGATGACATGTTCACAAAGGAAAATCTATTGATAGAACGCATCTCTGCATCACTTTAGCCACATAAATAGCTGGAAACGTCACTGTCGGGAGCCACTGAAAATTTTTTTCTCACTGTCGCTGCGCATAACTTCTACAGTACTCCCAATGCTGCAATGAAAGTAATGTCCCTAAAACAACGTGAAAATGATTGAAAATGCGAGAAATGAACGCCTCACAGAATTAATTTCCTCGATTATAATGATAATAATTTGATAGAAGTAGTCATCCTTGCTGATGCAATGAAATTTTCCTCTTGGCTTATGATACCCACTAATCTCGCATCTTAGCATTACCAAACACCTTGTGAGAACGCATAGTTTCTAGAATTTGTAATGAATACATCTACTGAATGCATTTTTTGAATGCGAGTGTATTTTTGGGCTTTTGAGTCCCTCTCCCTAGAAAAATTGGGCACAATGGAGAAATAGTCCGCCCAACCCTCTGTGCTCGCCAAATCAATGATTGAGGTTATCATTGATTTCCTACGCTAATATCGTTTCGATGACAAAGTTCACATTCATTCATTACTTCACACATCACATCTAGAATGTCAAATTAGTTGTTGATTTCAGCTGAATAACATTAAGTTCATAAAATGTTGAATGTGAGCGCGAGAGTCAGAAAACGCTGAGTAAGTTCCATGCGCTTCATATAATTAGGTTTCTTACAGCAAAAGATAAGTGGCATAATTGTCACTTTCACTGAATGGAGTGTATATTGACGTTATTTCTCGAGATGCGATAAACAAGAACATTGCGGGAGGGGAGGGAGACGGCGTGAGGATGCATCGATCGACATGAAACGTAAATGGTGTTCATTCTGAATGGAATGCAAGAATCGACTAGTAGCATAACAAACCAGGATTAATCGAGCCGACTCTTTTATGTATTTACTCTATGTTCACAACAAATCCTTGAAGTGCGTTGCACTTTTCCTCATCCCTCCAACTGATCCATTCTACCAACTTATTGTTGTTGTATGAAGACAAGTGTACGTATCCAACAAGTTTGTTTCAAGCTCTTTCCTCTCAAGCAGTCCGTTTTGTGTTAGTTTTAAGCATATTCAACACTTCATTCATCCAAATTCACTTTGCTTCACCTCACTTCCTGCTATTTTAAAAAAGTTTGCTCTTCTCAGTTCATAATCATTTTATTCACTCGTTATTTAGAAAACCTCAGATTATTTATTCATATTCACTGAGATAGTCTATGTGAATTATGATCATATAAAGTTTGTGTGCTCTAAATTATGAGCGATTTCTGATGTCTACTGATAGATAAACTGAACTTGAGAAGCAACACTCAGACTGGAACAATGTTATCGTGTGAAAGTAATTCTGCACCATTCCGATCCATTTTTTTCTTCAGAGCACGTTCAGAAATGAAAAAGTATTTGATGGTGTCATAATGCTTTTGAAATTAAAAGAGGATATTTCGATGTCAACTGGTAAATTACATCAAACTGTGATACTTTGAAGATGTATCGAATATTTGATGATATCGAATACTAATTATTGCACCGGTTCTATGTACCCATTGATTAGCAGTGCGGTTGATAGAGCAATTGAACCTTTGATCACACAAATGTAATCCTCATTTGCGTCAAAAAAAAGTAAGCGTTTGATTGGTCTCTAATCTGCCAGTGTTTTGTCAAAATTTCTCATTACCGGATGTTTATATGTGTCATCTTTTTCTCGATAATTGTTGATTATTAGAAATCACGTTATCAGATCATTATCAGCAGCTGTTCGGTTACAAGCGATTGTGTCGTGCAATCAATCCATTGCGGTTCATATACTATTTCAATGTTCAAATTAACGAAACTTATTAACGAAAATTCTCTTCATCAGATTCTCAATCAATTTTTCTATCAAACAGAAGTACTTTGAAGATGAGTCGAAAATCACTCTAGTTGACAGTCGTTCTCATATTCTGTTACTTACTGATGTGACGTGCGTTATTCTGATAACTAAACATTACATACCTATTGATGATCGCAGTGTTCAATAATTTGAAATATTTCGACTGGTTTCTTTGATGTTAATGGTCGTTGGCATTCAAACTCAATGGTAATAATGAACCGTTTGCTGGTTCGCAAATGACAAGATATCGAGTTTTTCAATATTAGCAGAGGCATGTGTGCATTACGTCTCATTTAAACATGGAATATTGCAGATGTCTCAGTCATGATGCTGTTTACTGGAGTACGACTGCTCTGGTTGGCGGTATGCATTGCAGAGCTAGTCGCAGTTGAGGGCAATTTAGAAACTGAGGTTATTCTGATTTCATTTGCAATCTGTAACTGGTGTAATTATGAATCCATTGAAACACTCTCTAATCTTTCACACCTTTTAAATTACTCTTCACCTAAATGATCGACAACTGACGAACGATAATCAAAAACCAAGTGAATCAGAAATGACATCGAATTTATCAATTTTATATTTATTCATCATCAGATTCTCATTAGTCAGTCAATTTTTCTATCAAACACAAATACTTTGAAGATGGGATTTCATTCCATTGTCTTTCGGTAAGCAGTAAATTTGCATTTTTACGGGTAGATTTATACACGTTTATGCACATAATTATCACTGCTTGCATTGTAGATGTTAATAGCGACATTCGAACAGAAGAATTACTTCAAATCATTCGAAGAATTACAAAATCGAATAGGTCCATTTATTGAACCAAAAGAGTTCCGACATCACAATCACACTCAAATATTCGAATTTCTGAACGTTAGTTTTAATCTTATCATTTTCAATCGATGAAGGATTTTGTCAACTGATGACTTTTTTCGATTTGATTCGTTGAAATGCTGTCAATTTTTGGTGGAAGGAAATGGAAAGGTGATTAATGCTAAGTTGGAACCAAAAGCCGTAGTGTATTAACGAACACAATTTAATAACGAGAAGAATTTTAACTTATCAACGGCTTCTAACAGCTAATCATCGTAGACCATTGGGATAGTACTCCTAGACTTATGTTAGCAGAGTCGACCGAAAATCATCTTTGGAGCTAACAAACAAATTTTAAGGCATTGTTATTGGCGATCTGAAATGAGCAAACAACATTTCAGAGACTTGCGAATCAGTATCCGGAGTTGACTTATCTCTACTCGATTGGTGAATCGCATCAAGGCCAACCACTCTATGTGATCGCTATATCGTCAGTTCCATCGGTTCATACGGCCGGACGGCCAGAGTTCAAATACGTTGCAAATATGCATGGTAATGAGGTGAATCAGAAACATTAACATCTACATACATATCTTATATCTTATTCAAATGCGCCGAACAACCAATCGCATCCTGAATCGCATTTAGTTATTGGAATCATATCATTGCGGTCAAACGTGAACGCACTTCCTGAAATTCTCTCTTGTAAAAAGTGATCAGCATGTGTATCGATGATGGTTGCTGTGAAACAACCTCAATTCCAATTGCATGCGCACAAATGCATATCGAATGATTAATTCAAAAGTATTTCACTGACATTGTCACGAATAAACTGTTGTGCACAATCGAACCAGAGAGATAAATGACTAATGATGGGTATAGAAGCAAAACAAGCTTTGCTTCTTCTCTTCAGCTGTTTTAAGAGTCTTCGAATCATCCAATTGATCCAGATATGCATTTCCCACTAACTAATGATATGCATTCGCCATAAATGCACTACTATGCGATAATTTCAATGAAAAATATCATTGCTAATGTTTATGCCATAAGTGTATCCTAATACTCATTACTCAACTGAAATTTTAGGTGACGGGTCGAGAGATGTTGCTGCATTTAGCTGAAGTATTGCTAGTGAATTACGGTAGGAATGATTATATAACACGATTGGTTAACACAACTCGCATCCATATAATGCCAACAATGAATCCAGATGGATACGCACGAGCAATTCTAGGCGATTATTCCGGAATCCAGGTAACTTCACTTAGATTCGTCCAGATTTTTTTCGTCGTATTCACAGAGTGGGGAAATATCATCTGGATATGCTGCTGTTTCCTATCTGATGAAATTGACACTAACGTTTATTTCCACAAGACAATAAGGCGTATCGTTCGATTTCAATTGATTTTAAACTATGCATACAATTTACAAATAACTTGTGTCATCCTTAAGATACGAAGTCATTTGCACTGTTATATTGAACCACTATTTATAGGCCCAATGGACGCACTTTTTAAAATTATACCGGTTTTGTCTGAATTCAGGGTCGTGGAAATGCGAGGAATGTGGATTTAAATCGAGATTTTCCAAGCAGATTTGAACAAACTCAAAAAGTGTCAGTGCAACCGGAAACAGCTGCCGTTATGCGATGGTCAAGGTTGATTGATTTGGCTTGTTAAGACTTATCTTAAAACATTTACTTGATGAAAAGCAGTGCTCTGATTAATGACTTGTTCCAGACGAAGATGAGAGTGGATTTTGATTGTAAATACGACAAATTGTTACCAGTTCCAAAATATTGATCCATTGTCTACTTAGAATAGCTTATTCAATAGCATTTCGCAGCTTTTGGATAAGGAAATTCCTAGTTGTTAGAAGAACTGTTTAAATTAACAAATTTCAGTTGGGAACGTATGTGACCAGTATTTTGGAGAGTTGTTATTGTTATAGTCATTCTAAAATTGGGCAGTATTCGAGAAATGATTCAGCTCTATAAAGTATTGCACCAACTTCAGTGTTATTCCATTCGTGCTGTCAGCAAACCTACACGATGGCACGATGTTAGTGAATTATCCGTATGATGATGGACCAATACTGGGAAGACAAATATCAAAAACCGGTGATCACGAATTGTTCGTTAGACTCGCATTCTCTTACGCCCGTGCTCATGAGTTTATGTGGAAAGAGGTTGNGTTGATCACAACTTTTAACGTTTTCATTTGATTGGAAGCCTTCGAGCTGTCAATTTCCCGCCTTTTGTTTTATATCTTGAGAAAACCTACGGTGATTCTATTTGCCTAAAACTGAAAACTTAGTTTTGAACTGTTGCGAAATCATTAATGGAAACTATTCAATAAGTACGAGTTAATATTGCAATAATTTTCATCAGGGACCACGTTGTTTACCTGATGACGGATTTGATCCTCGCATAGGAATAACCAATGGCGCAGAGTGGTATTCAGTATCAGGTGAACAATTCACTGAATTTATATCTTCTCTCTAATATGTTCCTTTAGTTCCTTTGCTCCTCTCGTGAACTACATCTCGAGCTCTGAGCAATTGTAAATAATTTGAGGTGGAATGCAAGATTGGAATTATGTGAATACGAATTGCTTCGAGCTAACCGTTGAGATGAGCTGTCAGAAGTTTTCTTATGAAGAAGATTTACCGCAGTTATGGCATGATAACAAATATGCTTTATTGCAATTTATCGATCAGGTGATCTCATATATCGCTAATTCAGTGTCATGCAGCCCTCATTGAATGAATAATTGTGATTATCGACGTGCAAATTCATTCGTGCCACTATCGAAATGATGTAAACAAACCATTCACAAACTTCTCTTTGTTTCTGGTGCCACTTATTTCGAAACTGAAGACGAGACCATTGTTCATCCCTTACGCCTAAGTGGAATATGCGAACTTTTCTTTTGCTCAGTTCGAACATCTTAAGATATCATAGACAACTAAGGCATCGTATGCATTCAGCCGATCACTTTCATTGCAGTCCTCCTTGAAATGCAGTTGATTCAAAAATTTCGTTATGAATACTTGAACAGAAATTTGCATATGGAAACACATCTCTTTCTCGAAAAGATCATGAAAAAGATCAATTTTAGGTTCATAACACACTGCATGGCTTTATATTTGACTATATGACGGGTCGAGGTATCTATAATGCGACAGTATCGATAAACGATCAGGGTAAAGTGGTGCGGTCGTTCATGTTCGGTGATTATTGGCGTTTGGTAAATCCGGGTACATATCAAGTGACGTACGACCATCCGCTCTATATGCCCGTAACGATCACTATCACAATATCGCCTGAAGCACCATTCGCATTCCAAAACGTGACCCTCAGAAGGCGAGCTCATACTCATCGCCATGTGCATGATGCTAACCATGCCCTCTCAGTATTCCATTGTTCTTCTCTCTGCCTACTTGCCTTGCTTATGCTTACTCCTCTCAGCTTCAATTCATTCATTTATCTCATCAGCCCTGATTCGTTATTGAGGATCTTCTAAGATCTCTTCTTTTATATCATCTATATAATACGTAACAATTGCTCATTTCTAACGTATTGTAATGATTTCACAAGCGTACTGGATTGATTGAAAAGTACTCGTTCATAAGCACATCTAGTTCTTTTTAGGCATTCCCTTTCGAACCCTGAATTCATCTCACATTATCTCATCAAAGCTCATTCAACTGCTGTTTGCTTCCAACTGACTATGATTTATTTTAACGTCATTTTCGTTTGAAATAACAATTTCTCATGCTGCTTTTCGTTTGATCATCAGTCACTCATTGCTACAAGTATATGTGTCTTTATCTCAACAGTTCATGTTTCTGTTCCAGTCAGACTGTTCTATTCATGTTCTGTTTCCAGAAACAGAGCACACGGGTTAAAAAGTGGGGTTCGTGCACGGGAACAGACTAGAATAGCTATCAAAAAAGAAAGATGGAGAACAGAATGCAAAGAAACACTTCAATGGGCGAAACAGAAGGCCATCAGTGGGGAGAGAAACAAATGAATCGTGACTAAAAAAATTCCGTCAACGAGAGATGAAGCAATTACATTACGGTGATTTCCGTCAACATTAATCAATTAATTAATCTCCACGTTATGGTGATTAATTCTCAAAATTACTAAAGGCTCTGCGTGAGAAATCCTTCCAGGAAGTCACTAAAGGATACAACTGTGCTTCTGAATCAACACCCTATTCTCAGTTATTTATCATAATGTGGAACCTAGGGCTGATCAGTCTAACACAAAAATAGACATATTTTACGCCTCCAGCACTGGTTTATGTTCGGAAGAATTGAGTCGGCTTGAATGAATCAATATTCATACCAGACTCATCACTATGAGAAACTCCGCTTTGGTCTGGGACCGAACTATTGGGATGAAGTACGCTCGGACCGATATTCAAGATCAGTCGGGCTTACCAAAAGTGGTTCGGAAGCATGCATGGAGTCATTTAACAGAAGAATTATTTCAAATCCAGATCTGAAAGGCCAATCCTTCTTCGTACTAACAATTTGCATTTAAAGGTTGAAGATTACGGTGATCCTCCGATTTCTTCCAATCATCACCGCCCAAAGCCGTCGACTCCTTGCACGGATAGTCACCTTCCACTCCAAATTCCCTTTATTTTGCACTACGTATGTCAAAAACCATCCCTACCCCGAATATCGCATTTTTTTATCGCACGTTTTTTCTGACTACAAGAATATGAATAGATCAGAACTGGGCATTTTGAATGGTAGAACAGGAGAAAACAGAAAAATGCCGAAATATGAGCTAAGGAAACGGAATAGAACAGGACGACTTCTAAAATTTGAAGAACAGAATAGAGCACTTGTAGAATAGAACGAAACAATTCGGTTCCGTTAAAGAACGCATAGAACAAAACAGAGCAGTTGGCCAAACGTGTGGAACATAAATATCACTTTTCTCAGCATCGCTATTGCAAATGTAGCGCTCTCCATTCTTTGGCGCCTTTATTTCCCGACAACTGAGGGAAAAAGCACAAGAAATCATCGGTTTTTATGGAATCCAATCACAGTCACTGATTTGGCGATCACGAACCACTGCCGGACACTGTCTAATGACTTCCAGAAAGAAGGACCTATGCCGCATCTTCAGCTAACATTGTTGAGGGATTGCTCTATTCAGCGCCAGTTGTTTACGTCTAAAACAATTTGCATTTTCTAAAACATTTTGTCATGTTGATCAAATTCCACTTTTTTTGTTTATCTGTTGCTGTATTTATTGTAATTACATACAAATGCATTTCGCAAGTATATTGCGCAAACAAAATTAGCTACAAATTATCGATTTATATTCAGTGCAAAATTTTATCTTTATAACTATGAATAGTACCTCATCGAATGTCTTTATCCGCGGACAGTATCTTCAAAGCATTTTTTTNTTTTTTTGTAAAATTGTAATGTTTTATATTATAGTTGAACATCATGTTCTTTTGTGCTCATATAAATGTTTTCACAATTACATTGGTCATTCTTATTATGAATCGTTCACTTCATGTAGAACAGTCCACTGGTTCATTTAGTTGAGCTTCATTTGAATTCAGTGTTCGGGCGAAAAGAATCGAATTGCTCATCACGGCAATAAGCTGGTTGCCAATATAATGAGAACATTTTAAACAGTGGTGGGCAATAACGCGATAAGCAACCATGCACATAAGTTTTAATTCTTTGCATTAGCTGTCGCAAGAACGCTTCCTTTCCGGTTTCATTCCAGTTCATCTCGTCTGGCAGGATCAGCACTGGCGGAAAATTTTCGATCGAGTAACCAGAACCTCAACGCGTAAAATGAAACGGCCGACAGAAGAGAGGATTTCAGTGGATCGGCACAGGACCCAAGCAACTGGAAGAATCATGAATCAATCGCACAATCGAATGAAACGAATTTCTCAACTATTTTCCTAACTGCTGAAAGTTTCCAATCGCGAACGCTCCCTCCAATCACATAAAAAAGCATGTCGCACGGTGAAACCAATTTATTGCTTCATTTATCACACATTACATTTCCTGTTTCTATTTCCCGCTTGTTCATCCTGTTTTACTCTTCTCTAAACTGTAACTGTTTTTTTCAATCGTTACTACTAAGAGAACTCACAAATACACATAACTGAGATGAATATTATCAGAAATAATTTCTCTTATCAGGAGGATATTTACTTTATTCTAATCTGGTTGGGTGAATTTATTCTACTGAACAATTCTACGAAACTGTTAGAGAGCTCTGAGTGACAAATCAATCCAGCAAGGGCTGGAGCTGGAACATTACCTTAGGAGAACATCAACTCTTACCGTTCGAAAATTATTATACTGGCTAAAGTCGCTCTGCTCTGTTCAGTGGACTGTTTCCGTGCTGGGATCACTCTGGTAGCGTTTCATGATTGTTTTTGGTATTTCTTTTGTTTGTGAGTGCTTGTGGTGAACGACTGAATCGAATTTGGTATTTTGCAGCCGTCCAATCCAAACACGAAGAAATTATCTGGAACGACGAGTATTATATTCAAGACCGTACGGAATTCCAACATCATGGATTAGAAACCTACAATGAAGAAGAACAATTAGTGATGCGATAACCGGAACAATCTTCATTTAACCATTATGTTGCTGTGTTGAGAATGCAAAGTATTGTGATAAAAATTTCAGTTGAATTGTTCTGTCGTATAATCGTGCCCATTTAGGTTCCAGGTTCCAATCACTTAACTTGAGATATCTGTCTGATTTTTGCAATCGTTCAGAGCAACGTAACATCAAAATCCAGTGGTAGCGATTAACGCTAGTGTGCTGTTTACTTGTTGAGTGCGTTGGTGGTATTAGTAAGTTTTGTGAACCGACACATTATTTGTTTTCTGATAAGGTTTCGTTGACCTGATATTAACTCGGTCAAACGCAGGGAGATGTTTTCATATTGATTTATTGATTTATTTTGGTCTGAAGAAACACGAATTGTGCACTCGTCACTTTCCATCCCGCAAAGTTGCCCCCATCGAAGAATGATCTCCATAACCTGAACCACGTTTCGGTATTGTGTGCTAAATGTCGGTAGTGATCTTCGTAAAAAACAAACCATTCAGCGCTGTGGCAAAGGACATTCACTTGAAGACTCATCATTTCAAATTTTCTGAATTTGGCGTTGTTCGGGTGCACCGTCTTTTATCGTTAATATCAACTAACTAGAGCCTTATATGCACATGCGTCCACCATATCGAAGAGTAACAAAAAGACTATCGCTAAATTGCCTTTGTGTCATCGAAGTCGGTAATTATTTCCGGTTCCTCTAATCCCGATCATAAACACGCACATTTTCATCAAGAGTGCTGACAAACAAGTCCATCCGTCAAATTTATGATAATTCTCATTCCTCAACTTCGTTCTAAGCATCCTGATATCATATTCTTTGAAAAACCTGTAATTCCATGTACATGAAGTTGCATCGAATGCGACACAGTCTCAATCCTATGCTTCGCAGGTTTGAATGATCTATATCGCCTGAAGGCGCAATGGCCTTAAATGATAGTAACTGCTTAAACATTACATTTAGGGTGGCAGAAGAACGGAAAACAATGAACCCACTTGCCCCAAATGCTCCAACAAATAGTAAATTTTTCACCTCTTTTGAATGCTATCTCGACTGCATGCTATCGATTGGGAATGCTATCGATTGTGCAAGCGACTCTTCCTTGAAATCGGTTGCAAACTTTCCGTGGTCATAACGATATGAATAATTTTCCATATGTTTCTGTATTTAGTGATGACTACGGGGACTCATCATCGGATTTGAAAGTTCGGAAGCAGATAAGAAGTCCGAAATGTATAGTAGACATCATACCATCATGGTAAGGAATGGGATGGATAAGAAAGACCAGAGCGTTTTCGTTGTTGTCAGTGGGTTCGACAGACATGAACAAGCAGTAAATGTGGAAACAAAATGTGTGCGGGGTATTCACAGAGTGAGGTCACTTAAAATGTTCTTCTGAACATGTTCTCCATAGAAAATGAGTAAACCTTAAGTTTCTGAGATTGCAACTTACGCATTTTTTTGTTGATGAATATCCCACATACCTTAACAGTACCCAGGGCTAATGACATTGTAAATTTGTTAATCATCGGTGATGCGCGGAAAAACAAGAGTGGGAGCTAGTAAAACCTGAAAATTAAAAACTCATTGGTAATGTTGAAGGTCTTTGGACTAATCGGCCATTTAAGTATCTGTATGATTGGTTAAAAAAGTATTTCAACATATGTCAGTTACGAAATTTTTTGTTGGACTCGTTAAAAATAATTCGAGCAAAACAACAGACGGCATGTTGTTGTCTCATTTAGGGGTGGATCAATAACAAAGAAGTCATTATCATCATTGTAATGAATTTGTTGATTTATTACTTGTTATCACTGTTACTGTATCTGCACGTTTCACCACAACCACCGCTCTATCTATACCTACTTGTACCTATACTTTTGTCATCGACGACATAAGCCGATACAGTTTAAAAATTCTTCGAATTAATCACTGTGTAAACTCGAGAAGTTTAAGATTACTTTTTCTTTATTATTATCATTTTCAATAAAAGCAAAAGTTTCTTCACTGCTTTGTCCTTTTTATTTGTTGAAATATCCAATGAATCCGAACGAATCAACACTTTGTGTAGGTGTCTACTGAAATCTGCCCTGATTTGGCTTTTTGACGAGCCACTATCAGAGTGTAATCACTTGGGCATCAGGATGTTGCGACGTAATCTAACGCTGGTGAATTGTTGTGTGTAGCTGCTGAATGCTTCGAATCAATTTTGTGGGCAGTGATGACGGAAGCTCTACATACATGTCGACGTTCATTGCTGGATAGGCAATTATGAGAGCAATTCTGCAATTCATTCGGAAACATTCAAGAATGTGCAGTGTCATTTGAAGACGTTGAAAAAATGATGAAATGGAATAGAAGTGGTTCGGTGAACAGACTGAAGCGTATGTGCACTGATGAGCACACAAAGAGAGTGGTTGTTGATAGGATGGAACGTGGTACGTATTTTGATTGGATCGTCATTACAGACGGCTGGTTGTCGGCTGTCGACTATTGATTGTTCGGTGTGATGCATTCGCACGCACTTCATTCGTACGTACTCGCTTCAATCCCCGCTGCCAATTGTGGATCGACGATTAGTCAGTGAGTGCTGCAAACACACATCCGCTCTTACATCATAACGAACCACTTAAGGAATTAATCCTCTCTCACAATTCTTCAATAAACTTATCATCAGTGAAGCAAATTCCTGTTCTCAAAATCACATTCAAAATTCGGCAGGAAATTTATTGCCTAAGGTCCTAATGATTTGAACAAATCGACAAATATTGCGTTTAATGCGGAACAACTAGCGAATGTAGTCAATTTTGAAAAATATTTAGTGAGTAGTATAATGAAGTCAAATGTAAACAAAAGGGGTTTGATCATTTCACTGCAGTACAACCTTTTTTTTAAAGCTAATTTGAAATAATTTCGATGGTTACAACGGTGATATCAAATGATGATGGCAATATTTGTGTCACTGGTGAATCAAACCGGTTTCTGAAAGCACTTTCGATATTTTATATTATTAAGATTGTATCTTGAGTGTATTCGTGTAGTGTTAGTTCTCTATTTTCATGTGCATTTGATTATTATTTTCGTACATTCGGAATCGTTTTGTTTTTGCCATTCCACAGATATCAGTCACTAAAATTCGCAGAAAGCACTTTTTTCAAATAGGTTTCCAATCGCCCGTTCTTATGCATTTCTGTCTATACGCTTTCATTTCTATGTCATAATTGTTCCAGTTCGTTTCGAAATTTTGAACGCTTCAGTTAGTCGTTTTAGTGAAGTTCAGCAGCCCAATAAATCGAATTACTTCACCTTTATGGCACGAATTATGACTGGTTTCATCTCGTTTATAATTCTTTCCTTCACGTAATAATAGCACTACAAAAGATATCAATCATTTCCACGAGTATTCAATTAGGTTAATTTACGCAAGTGAACGAATTCACTTTTTCCATGAATGCCTACAAATATCATTATTCTAATTGTCAGCAAGACATGCGCATGAAGTATTTCAATAATTGCGTTGACCGAGTGTTCCGTGTCTCTTAAGCGCAAGGCATAACCAACAAACGCACTATCGATCAAATTTGCCACGTAATCAAATCATCTTATTCGTTTTCATGGGAACAATGTACGGCATCGCACTCTCTCGTTCAGTGTATGTTTGTGTGTTTGAAATCTCTCCTGAACTGTTGCGGTATACTCTCATATACCGATAATATTCCATCCTTTCATCTCTGAAGTCTTTCAAATTTCACCTCTGATAGTAAGCAGCACTTCGAAATCTCTCATGTCCCACTTTCCAATTTGAAGCACATACGAAAAATGACCAAAAGAATGGAGGTCTTTCGAAAGATAAGTTATTACCAGCTTTTGCTGTGCTAGGACTTGCATTTCAAGGTTGCAGTCGCAAGTTCAGATTACTGATTATTTTGAAGGCAGTATAAATTTGCAATAGTGATGGCATCCGTACGGAATTTCAGTTCCGACCGAATTCACATTTTGAGACTCCGACATTCAGAATTCCCACCACGACTTCCACAGTTCTTCGTTAGGATTCCGACAGAATTCACATTTTTGGATTCTGATATTCGGAATTCCGACCGAATTTCAAAATTATTCAGTCGGAATCCGAATACCGTGATTCCGACCGAAATTTGTCGTATTTTGACGACGAACGTCGGTCGAATGCTATCACTAATTAGCAAGATGAAAGGTGATCACTAAGAGAATCATATCTGTTTGCACAAATGACAGTTCTGAGGAGTGAATAAAATTGTTTCGAACACTTTACCTTGGATAAACATTATTTCATCGCAGCATGTGAAAGGAGAAGAACAAATTCTGTACCGCTTTTGTTGCAAATTTGTTGGAATCCCGATGAGTTTAGAGGAAGACGATTTATTTGATTAACTGCTGAGGTAAAAAGATGCTGCGATTTATGAAGCTGATTGTTCGAGTCTGTTAGATGTCGATGATGAATTACGACGCATTGTATTCACAATCTCTTCAAAATACTGGAAAGCCTTTTTACCGAGACTTCTTCCCCATTAGTAAACTGCTCGATCGTAGGAGAAATGAATTCGCCCTATCAGAATTTGAAGAATGTGCTTCTGTTCAACCTTCAAATCAATTCAACGTATATTTCCAACACAAAAACACTCATACGAGGGCGCAAGCGCCCACTTTCGTGAACATGGTGTTAGCCTTTTACTTGGCTGTATTGATTGTCGTTGAAGGTCGGATACAAAAGAGACCGACCTCATGAAGCATCTTTCCTTCAAGCCTTACGGTGTTTCAAGGGTGTTCCAAAACCGTTGATAACTAACAAAAGGAAATTTGTTTATAAGCCATAAGCAGTCACTTACATGGTTTTGTGCGCTGCTTGAACATGAACTCTGAGAGAATTAATTGCATTTGCAAGCACTAAGAAATGAGCGATGAATTAAATGATGAAATAAGCATCGTTCACCAATTAACGCTGCGCACCTCTCGCTTATCTTATCACTGTGCTGATAGTCAGACGTTAAGATATTGTCAGTGTATCGTTATCAATGAATGTGTATTTTGATCAGTGAACGAAAACGACTATTTTAGAAATCAAATTCACTGAATGGCCGAATCGCATTCGTATATTCCTCGACCGACTCAATTTTTACAAGAGGAGGCGAGTGATGACGACGATTACCTGGAAGATGAAGTCGGGATAAATGAAGAAGATGATGACTATGAGTTCAATCAACCCCTGATCGCAATCAAAAATAATTCAGCTAGTAGCACAGCTCATCAGTCATTCTCTATCCCATCATCGTCATTCTACGGAAGTTCAAATCAGGTAACATCATACTTATCTTTACTTTGGTCAATTCAATGACATTCTGCTATCCATAATGTTGATAAGAGCTAAACAGGATTTCATCTCCGTTTTGCTGAGTGGAATAATACATTGAAAGAATGCCTTAAAGTAGAGGAATCCATGATCAGTTTCGTGCTATGAAATTATATTTTCGTGATAATTCAGTTGTATTTTATACAGGATCTGATGTGCTTTGGTGATCTGTTCACTGCAGTGAATGAATATTGAAAATTGAATTATTTCCACAGCTGAACATACCGATAATCATACTAATCAGAACGCTTCCGAATCAGTTGTATGTCTGCATCAGGAAAACCATTAACAGAAAATATATGCCCGTACCAATATAAACCAGTGATAGAAAAAATGACACGATGATGGAAAGACCATCTTTTGAGTAGTTTTTTACGTAAAATTCGAAAATTAACTTTCTCTCTCCGCTTCAGACCGAATTTGGTACAAATAATTGTCAAAATCTGAAAAATGCCTAAAAACATGAACCTCACCGGCTGAAAAAGTTCATTTTCTGTTTTTTTACATGCTGAAGAATGTGTTGAAGCTATGCTATCGGATATGCTGAATGAATCAGATTTTCTTTATCACTCATTCATCGTCTTCAAGAACGTTACTGAACGCGCGGAGTACCAAGTTGAGATTTATGTACTGCTTTCTTCCGAACGACGGGACCGTCCCGTCCCGTCCAGTTTAAAAATGTACTGTATCAAAGCGCCAAGAATAATGAAGTGAGCGATGGATGGATGAGAGAAAGTAGAGAGAGGAGGGAATAATCGATGAAAGGCTGTGAGCGAGACTAAACGATTTTTTCGAAGAGATCGTTGTGGTCCTCAAAAAGCATGCCCTTAAATTGTACCACAATGGTGGTTGATGAAAGGAAACGACACTCATTTTCGGATTGAACTTGCATAAGCACCTCAGAAAAGGAAGTAATCATCAACGAGTCATTTCTGTTGTTGACGCAAGAAACGGCTAAAACTCAAATCGTTTCTACGTAAATTGGAGTCATTAGCAAAAGACAATCCATAAGGAAGAGGAAGAAGTTCATTTTAGAAGTCTCACGTATAAAACTGCCCAAAAAATGACCTTCTCGGCTTTGCGCATTTTTTGGTGTTGTGCAGCATAATTATTGGATTTATAATTATATTCTGAAATTACTAATGAAATATCAAGTATCGTATCGTTGAAAAATGTTCATTTTCCGAATAATTTGTTCGTACAGATTGGATGTCAAGGACATTCTGACGTGACTAAAAATAAAAATTTCAGTCACATTCATTCGGCCGTAAAATAGCCAGATTTAATTATTTCAAGTTTCTGCCAGAAAGAAAATCTCTCTTATCGTTAGAGTATTCATTGTTAGTGTACTTCATGATGGAAGCTGCAGTTTGCGATTCATTTTGCAGCATTCTCGAATTTTATTGCGACATCGTAACTCTCTGTAATTCCTAGGGAACATCCAATTCATATTGATTTTTGTTCGCTTTCGAAGTTTGCAGCCGTGAATTTTCGTTGCGTTGCTCACGATCAAAGACGAAATAACGTCGTCTTTTCTGAACTGAGCTGATTTGCATCAGTTGTGGTTGCCAAGTTGCTGTGTAATGTTGTTTTGGTTGTTTGCAGTTTGAGATGAGATGTTCTTGGAGAAGAGCTGCATTGAAGAGACGTCTCAAATTAACACTCTTGAAATGCACAACTTTTGAACGAAAGCCAACGATAAACGGTAGTAGAGAGCCATGGCATCACGCAAGGGATAATTGAAGCAGACGACGAATAGATAGAGGAACGTGCGTATGCGTTGCGTTCTGATGCGTAGAATGTGTGGTGATCGATTTTGGTGCGAAAGGCATGGCGAGTGGTTGGTGTGTGCAGCGGTGCGTACGTTATCGTGTGTACTGTTGCGCTCGGCATCACATCAGTAAAACTTTCGTAATAACACAGTTTCTTGTGCGGCAATTGTGTGGATTGCAGCAGTGAATTCTGCGAGAATCCAGTCAATCCTAAAGATGAGTGCATAAATTCCTCACGATGGATTGGTTCATTCAATATGAAATAGAAACTGATTTCGACTTTATAAAGTAGATTCATGATTCCACCTGGACACTCCTCCAACTAGTCGGCGATGAATTGCTGAGTTGATCGAAAACTGATATGGATTAGTCAGTCATCGGAAAATTATAATTCATATCTTTTTATTCGACAGCTGAAAGAGGCGCCTCACAGTTAGATTATAAGTGTATTGTAGTTGTTCCAGTTAAGCTTTGCGTGATCACCCTAACCAAAACGTGCTTGATGCCCCTTGAGATTAGAACGATATGACATAATTGAACAGCCTCGTGAAAGCCAGAATTAAAGTTCAGTGAGGAAGTTACATTTATTCAACGGTAACTTTGTCAAAAGCAACATTTTCTCCAGTTATTCAGCAATAGTTTAAGCTAGTCAGCAGTTCGCATATTCGACTCACCAAGGGTATGCCACAGACATTTTTTATCGCCGTCGTCATTTTCGTGTTTACTCTTTATTCTTGTAGGTATTGATCTATATATTTTACTGATAAATGCACATTTTGAGTTATTGTCGATTTAATTTTGCGTTTCATTGTGGTAAGCGCCAATTAATCTTTTTTTAAACCATTCGATAAAAATGCATTCGCATTCAACTCCGTCGAGCGGTGAGTTATTTGGAAGAGACAACTGTTTCATTATTAGGCATAACCATTTTCTAATCTTCTAAACTTAATACGTTGCCAATTCGAACGTAAAGGGAAGTCTGACTGGAGTAATATTCCCTTGTTCAGGGATTTTTCCATTCGTAGTTTACTAATATAAGTTCGAAAGGAGATTTTCAATCGGACTAGAACATCAAATAAAACTGGTTCGATGTAAACGCAGAAGATTACAATGAGCCTTTGAAAGTGATTGTTTTAGCAGCTGGAAAAATTCTTTCATGCTTTGTTCTATCACTTATTCTTCCATATAGTAGAATGATGGAGGCCGTATTATACAAACGACTGAAATACGGGATTGTATCTTTGGCATAAAATAGATATTGTGAATATTTTTTAGAGTGGTGAATAATATATTGCAAGTTACATTTATTGCTATGTTCTCAACTAATAGATGTATGTTTTCGCGATACTCCTCGGTCAAGAATCCTCTTAGGGTCCTGTTACATATTCTCAGTGCTACATAACTGGAAGTCAGCACGTATTTATCACTGGTGCATTTCATTTTGGGTGTAAAATTCTCGGTGTAAGTCGTGAATTTTGTGTGATATAATTTTCGCTTTTTTTTTCGTTCCCTTGAAAACATTGCGGTCTTCTTCTTCCATATGTTTAGCTTCATTCGTTACGTACTTACGTCATCATACCACATCAATCCTATCGCAACACCGCTGATTCTTTCACTTTTATTTATTCAATGGAGAAGGAACGGAACGTATAATGTTTGTTCGCAAGATCATATGTGATGTAGGTGAAAGATAGAATGTTAGCTGCTTAGAAATTGGTTGGAAACGCAGTCACGCAAGGCATCACCCACACGTCGGCGAACTTCGCATCCGATCAAAAATTTCTCGCCTAATGGCGCTCAGTGTAGAATACAGGCCAACACTTTAAAAGTATCATCACTGGAAGTTTCCCAGCTGCGAGAAGAGATATTCTCTCATTTTGTCTGTCACTATGCTTCCATCAGGATTGTCGAATCGATCACCCACCGCGAGCGTCTATCGGCTAATAAAGTTGTTTGTGAAGTGTGCAGAGAAACGCAGACAACGACACGAATAAAGTGCATATTGAACGCAAACAAAATGGAATTTGAACATATGATTCGTCGTTCATATATGATTTGTGAATTGTAGTTTTGACATTTTTTGATTAAATTCATTAATCGTAAGTGTAAGCTTATTCTAGGACTTCGATGAGGTTTGAACTTATCATCAATTTTCTTTACTGGCTCTTACACGTAGAGTTTAGATGTTGTTGACTTGATGTGTTGTGCACTTTCGAGGTGTTGTTTCGACATGTTTTGATGGACTCTCAAGGTAAATTCACAGTTAATTCGTCAATATTTTAGAGGTTTAAGGTCAGTGGTTTCTGATCTTGATTTATTGTCGACAGCCAACGAATGTTTCCAGAAAAGCTGATCAAGTAAAACACTGCAACATTTTCAACATGCAGATTTAGCAGATATGAACACCAGAGGTGTTAACACTATTTTAGAAAGTTCTCCATGTAGATAATACACCAGTATTTATTTATTTCAGTATGATCTCATTGTTAGTTCAATTCAATTTTGAGTATTCATTTCAAAACGGCAGTATTGGAACATCGTATCACCACATCTGCAAGACACATTTGCGTGACTGTTTCAAAAGCGTTTACACAATTTGGATAAAACTTCTTGAATGACCGTGAATTCCACCAATTTTTTTGAATAGTGCTTTTTGTGACCTAACGTTAAGCACTGAATGAAACGACTGGCTTATGAGTTTCTGTAATTGAGTGCATCTAAGACTATCATGATCACATCTCTTATCAAGCATATCTATCTCAAATTGTCCGTGGTAGACAAATGTGCCTGTGATTATGGCTGGAAGCAAACGAATTTCAGAGCAATGAAAATATTTATTCTGGTTTGTAAAGCTCAGGCCTTTTTTCAATTTGCTGTGACTGTTTCAAAAGTGTTCTCACAATTGGCATATAATTTCTCAAATGACCATGAATTCCACCAGTTTTAATGTAAATTTCGTTTTTTACGTGATGTGAAAGCAAACGCAAGAGTACTTTAGGATTGAAACATGAATTTATTTTTGACAAAGGTCTAAAATGAAATAAATAAAGGTGAAGAAAGAATGAATTGTAATAGGTGATAAACGCGCAAGAAAGCAGTCATGAATACGAAAAGGAAAACAAATTTATCACGATATGACGGGCGAATGAGAATGGATTTTGGAACGTCACTTAGATATGAAACTTTGTTTGATTATTATCTTGGAGAAACATGTTTTTGGGGGAATGGAACATCATTGTGGGGAAGAAAATCGAGTGCTTACGATCCTTCCAATGATTGGATGTTTAGTACGTTGACTTTTATGAGACGTTCCTGCCGAAATATTGGGTCCAGATGAGAAAATGAAGGAGTAGAACTTTCTTATGGAATAATTTGGTGTATGTTCGAGGATAAAGGCTTTCTTGAAATTGAAAAATTGTCCCTTTAGTCCAAGAATTCCCAAAATTTCATATCGAATGAAAGTTTTGACATGCCAACATCAAAAATTTTTGATATTTTGTTATCGCGTTTAAGAAGTCTGTATCATTGCCACTGCATGTTTCAAGAAATTTTCGATTTTAAGAAATTTCGTCATCGACACAAAAACAAAAAACTCTGGATATGGTGCAGAATTTGAGGTAAAAGGCCTTGTAAAAGGTTTCGTCTTGAAGGTTTTGGAGAGATTATCATTTTAAAAAACCCACAAATGAACCAGTTTGCTTAGCGATTAATTAAGTTTGTCCCGAGCAAATGTTTTCGAACCTTGATGCTTGCATGCTGCAATGAGAATGAAGGACAAGTGAAAAATGTAAGAGACGCTCTTTTTGATGAACATTGAGCGAACATTGATAGGGATTAGGGAATTTTCAGCGTTGTTTTGTTGTGTGGATCGGTACCACCCATGAGTGAGCAAATTATTTGTAGCAGTTGTTGTCACTGTCATCATGAAGCTGTTCAAGATAAACCGCCGCAGAAATTCTGACATTCGGAGTGTTAACTGATAAAGCTCAAATGATGCCATATGCAAAAGATCGTTTCGTTGCAGTGTCAAAACGCAGTGCCAGATTGCAACAATAATTCGATCATTGATTGCATAAAAGAATTTTTGAAATACGAAACGAAACGCCTCTTAATTTTATGATTTTTTGTGAAATGTTTCCAGGACAGCACCATGATATGCTTCAATCATCTGTCAGTTTTCTAGACGTGCACTAACACATATTCTTCGCAAACATGCGAACAAACCGCAATATTCTTTGATATCTTCTTCGGGAAAGGGATTATTTCCAGTTCCTTACAAAGATGATGTAGTAGACCGCGTTCCTATCAAATTGATTGTAGCGTTTTTGAACCATTCATATTGCGATTTTGGATTGTATTGTAATTAGGGGTAGTTGTTTGATATTTTCAACTAGTTGAATCATAGCGGTCACCATTTTCAACAAAATCAAATGAATTATAATCTGTCAATCACTTTAACTGTATCATATCACAAATACCGTCTCATTCGAATGCGACTTTTCGAACACGGCTGCGGTGATGATGAGTGGGTAAAGGGATGATCTAATTACACCTCATTGTCAAATAAACTACGAACTATACAGAAGTCTGAAGACTTAATGTTAAGCTTAAGTCTTAAATAAATAATATGTCGGCGAATTGAAAATGTTAGCTGTAACATGTTATGTGTTCGCTATCTGACAAATTGAATAGATCAAATATAGATGTTGATTTAAGGATGTAACATTTGGAATATGAATGCAACTTGTTGATCTTTGATAACACTAAGGTCATTTTGAATAAAATTCATCTCAACTTTTTTTGCACTCCGATTTGATCTTAATTCAACTTGAAGTTTTCAGTTCATAGTTTATCTGACAATGAGGTGTAATTATCATATGGACATCGTTGAGAATTTTAATTATGAGAGCTAATTTCGAATACTGAGTTTGATGGTAATCGAGCATTTTTGCGTATACCAGTCGGATTCAAGGCACTCCGAGTGAGTAGTCAGTTGAAGGCTTTTTAAGGTTTTTAGGCAATTTGTGAGGTGTAAGATGTTCAGGTTTTCGTAGTGAATGTCATTTATCGGTATACTGGTTTTATAAAATGTCTGTTGAATTCATTTTAATCGTAAACGTTTTAATGTTCGTTCAGCTTCGTCAACATACACATATTAGCTGCAGTTCTTAAAAGTCAACATTTCATCTTTTTGAATTCGTGAAATCTTTTTAGAACTGGCAGCTGCACTGATGTACTTTTCGAGCTGCGGTAGTTACCCAGTATCCAAGTAGATTCTTACGTCACCTGGCGTTGTTTTTTCGAATACATATTATAGCACACTTTTCACTATTATATTAAGAAGCTTAACTAACAGCAGTGGGAACTGAACAAGTTTCTAACGATGCTGTTCGTTCCTGAGAAATATATTACATTCTTCAGGAGAAACTTGTGTCCGAATTCCATTGTATTTTAAAAGCTATTGTTTTTTGTGCTACTTTCTCGTTTGAATTTTTCGATCTTCTAAGTAGTGTTGTATTTTGAATGTGGTCTGATCCAGTACTGCAGTGAAACGGTGGTAATACCGAAAGCCAGATTCCGAGGTTTGAAGAGAATGTAGTGAAATTCGAATTTGTATCATTTCTGAATCAGACTGAATGTCATCCTATTAACAATAAGTGTCTGAATGTCATCTTATTAAACATCCTTTCTCAATTTGTTGTACAGGTGAATGATTGATCTATTTCATATGATGCATGCTGACCCGTTAACGTAAAATGCCAATTATGGTCTGCCAGAACTAACCGCATCATAGTTGTCAAAAGCAACGTATTATGCATCCACTGGATGTGTCCTCTTTTTCATTACATTTGATTTGTTCATAATTTTATGCATTTCATTCAACGACTTATAGTTAGTATTATTCCCGTTAGTCATTATAGATCGATTGTATCATCTCAGTCGGTGTTTGTTGAGCAAAACCAGTTATTCGTTTCTGATTGATTTACTTGAATAGCGTTCTTTTTTTTTTCGTTCTTATCCACTCAGAAAGTCTCATACGTTTCATATCCTTCGTGAACTCATTTCTGTATAAACTGGTTTATCTGCATGATTCTTCCATCCATGGGGCCCTTTAAGGTTTCCCTTGGAACGCCTTAGTTGATCTTTAGTCTGATGCTGGCTCAGATTTGAGTTCTTATGTTCCATTCATCTTTTCTTAAAAAAGTGACACATGTACTACAGCAAGACAAAGGAATAAGTTTGGAGAACACTGCAAAATGCTTCTCTCATTTTAGGAACAAGCAGTTTCAGGAATGATTGTAGTGTATCTTCAGTTGAAAATACTCATCTGGTTTTTATCCATTCACTGGATCCTCATAGGACTAATTTAATTTCAACGACAAACTGTTTTTATTTTGCGATCCAATATTTCTCATGAAGTCACTTTCATAAGTTTCAAGAACATTAATAGTACAGAAGCCGGCAATGATCGAGCATCCTCATCCAAAACTTTGAACAGATCAGATTTCTCAGTAGTTTAACAGTGTGCAGTTGGATTTCTTTATCACATCATATCGGCGCAGAACTGTGCAGTTCGTTTTACCGATGCCCGGGGAATTCGAATAAATTGATCATTTTGAAGTGTTCGTCGCGATCGCTATTTTAGTTCGATGCAAACGAATTATATAAGATGATGAACTAAGCGATTGAGTGAATTGTGCTATGAAATTGGTTTGTTAAAGGGAATGCCGATACACGAAAGTACAGGGTATCATTACGTCGAAGATGATACTGAAGAACAGTTTGTGTTCGAAGAACAGCCACAGTCATCAAATTACTTTGTTCGTTCTCATCAGCTTCCAAATGATTATTCCCGTCAAGAAGTTATCTATCAACAACAGCAACAGGTCATTTTTACTTATCTCATACCTACTCTTATTTCACCGTTCGTTTCCTTGCTCCGCACAACGTCTTTTCGCTCTTATCATATCTTCGGTTTTCCGCATCTGTCGTATTCTGTTGTTCAGTCATTTTTTTGGCACTTCAGTTTGATAGACTAATCGTAGACTCTGTTGATGAATGAATCAGACTCTGTGAAAACGAGCAGTCTAAAGCGCAGCATCGCAGTGAAGTTGCAATCAAAGCGTATTCAAGTTGTTATAATCAGAGGAAAAATTTTTTTTTGAGTTGTTGACAATCGATAAGATTGTTTGACTTAAGTGTCGTTCTCCAATTTGCTCGGATTTGTTGCGTTTTCCTCACGTAACCTTTTTTCTTCTTTGTTTTTCATTTATAAAACTTTTGTTGCCTATTTTTTCTAATGTGGAGTTCTTATTTATTCTTGTGGTGATATGTATGCGCTGATCTGTCATCTTTTTGCATCAAAATCTTTCAATCGGAGCCTACAGTGGCATTTATGTTGATGAAGACATCACACAGTGATTGTTGTTATTCATTTATCTTTCAAAGTAATCACTTCAATTAAATTCCATTTTAATCATCGCGTGCGTTCCTCTTGTTGACTGAATATTGCAGTAAATTTAGGCTATTCACAGTTTGAGCTGTCAAAGCAACATGCACTTGTGGATTTTCCAGAAAGTAATTTCACTTTTTCGAAATGATTTATGTTGTGTGGCGTGACGATTGGAATTGTATACTGGAATGCACTGCGCACTATAAGCAAACAATCAGTTTAGCTGATGTAACGCACTCGCTATTTTGGAATTACCATTGAATTAGCGGTTATGATTATTGTACATGAGTTTTGATAGAACGCAAAAGTTTCACGTGGGATTGGGTAATTGAACTGATCAGATTTTATAAAATAAGGATGATGAGTTTGTCGTATGGCCGAACTGGGAGTTGAGTTGGATGAAGCGAGTGACTTCAGTTTTACACTGAAACACATTCTCTTCTCGAGTATATTCCATATTGCAAAGTGATAATAAGATAATCCTCCTTGATTATTTGTTCAGTGGTCCAAGTCTTTTTAATACTCTGTCTCAAACTGCTTTCTGCCGGTGTTTTCATGAGCACATCAGATCCGTCACATAAGTTTGTCAAGTATTCATTTGATAAATAATTGAAATGCAATGAAATAATCGAATAAAATTTCAGAAATACAAGCAACAACAACAGTTTGCTGCATCACATCACGATTATGTGGTTGGTGCACCATCGATGTCATCATATAATAGAAGACATCAACGAGTGTACGAGATTCCATCAGATGATGTAGATGAGATCTCGGTTTATGAAGATAATACAACGCCTAGTTCTAGTAATGTTAATATTAATAATACAGCTGAATATTCGGATCAGTTAGAAGGAACAGTGCATGCAGCGGTACATGTGCAACAGTCGCAGTTATATCATCTTCCAAACCACCTTCAACCACAACAGCAACATCAACAGCAGTCGCAATTTCAAGAAACACCTAGAGTGGTTTCTAATGAAAGCAATAGGGTAATTATCGATGCTAATTCGTTTCGTTTCATTTTAGGTGCTGAAGGAATGACATAATTTTACATCACTTCGTCAACTTGCCTTATTTCGTGAAGAGTGCGTATGGTCTTGAGAGAAGTGCTCGACGACAGATCCATCCTATCAGTGCAAACACTTTTGAGTTATTCCATGCACTATTGAATATTCAGTTTTGACGTGTGATAATTTCATGAAAGTATCACTGTCGATTGGATAAACCAAACCCATGCATCGCTTGATATCGCAATCTCCATTTTGTTGTCGAGCAATAGTTCAATAGCAAGCTGAATGAACAGTGAAATTGTTGTTGAATATATGAGTGATTATTCATTACTTGCCATTGCCATTATGATCAAGGAAAGATTAGATTTTTGAGAAAGCAATATGAGTCATTCAGTACACCGAGCGTTTCGGTTTATGCAATGCGTAATATTACAACAAAACATTGCATGAAAATATTGCTTCGTTTATTCGATCGCATTGAATTAAAATGTAGGTTATAATATTCGTTATCGAATAGATGTAAGGAATGTTGAAAGAAGGTAGCGCGTCAACTACGACCGTGAAAGGGAACGAAGGGAGGAGGAAAACATCAAAAATTCAGAGCGCATTATTAATATTACGCGATATCTGTAAGAAAGGAATTGAATGACTCGTAATATGATGAGTGAATGCAAAATACGAATCTGCATTGCAGCTTCAAGGAATCTGTTGAACTGAGGGTGCTCTTTTGAACGAGCATTCGTCCGTTCAGCGAACACCAGTGCACGTTTTCTTTCGTGCTGAATCTTACCAACATTCATCTTTTTATCCTACCCATTGTTTTGTTGTCCAATTTTCATTTTACCAGTATGTTGAAACCGTCATCCACATGTCTTAATTTTATTTATCCTCGTTTTTGTTCCCGATTGAACTAACTCTCCAAAAGGATCTGTACGACTGAACAGCCATCGTGAATAAATCAGTGAGGCAGTTTTCAAGATAGTTATCCAGTTTTAAAGAGTATTGCTGGCACAGCTGTTAAATGAATTGAAAGTTTAACAAATTACGTGTATAACTACTGTTTTGTTGATCCTGCAAGAAAGTTCGAAAACAGTTGGGAAGGCAAGCCAGTGGAGACGTTCGTTTACGCAAAAGTGGAAGTTGAATCGGTTTATGACGACATCAGATATGTGGAATGTTGATTTCTGATGAATTGATCGACGCAATGACTGTCATTATGAGCAAAAAACAGACCGAAGTGGATTCTTGTGAAAAGGCTGAAGGAGAAGATGAAAGATGCGCTGAAATTTGATTACTTACCTGATATGTGTACGATTATCTGCATGTATTTGAAGAAGAGAAAGAAGAAGCATAGATTATTGTTGAAAAAGAAATGTGATCACTAGTTTCATTCACTGTTTCATGGTATATCCAAAAGGAGAAATATTTGACGGTTAACAAATGATTTCACAAGATAGGAAACGAATGAATGTATTTCCGGTTGAATGTAGCGGAACTCTAGTCGGCAGTGGTTGCGTGGTGAGACCTGAAAGAATAATCATGTTTTTTCGTTGTTTTTTTTTCGTTTCCAATCAATTTAGTGATTAACGTTTCTTCGATAGGGAAGGGGTGATGTTATTTCTCAAAATTTTGTTTTTTGTAAAGCGAAAGTGTTCTTTATTCTGCTTATTTTCATCAGTTTTATCGTATTGTTATTGTTATTTGAAATTATCATAATGATGACGGTGGTCATTTTGAAAGCGATACATCGCAAACTCCCTCTACTCATCGTGCGAGACGAATCTTGGAGGTTTCAAGAAGATATGAGAACATTTTAAATGGGGGTAATGCAAAGTGGCAATGAATAGCAGTGGAAAAGAAAGATTCACTGAAAGGGCTGGGAGGGGTTAAGGCTCGAGTTCGTTTTGATTACACTGAAAATGCTATTGAAATCATCGGTTCGAACTTTCATATTTGACGTTGTAGTTGAATGGGGCTGAATGCAGAAAAATGTAGTTGCGAAACAGACATTGGAACTATGCTCAAGAGGGATTTGGGAATTTGGTTTTTTTGCGAGAGGCAACCGATAGGCTACTTTCATCAATAAAAACGTATTAGGCTGCTGCGAAATAATTGCAGCCAATCAGGAAACAAAAAAAAGGTCTAGAAGGTTTGGGAACGAATAGTTTGTCACTCGTAAATGTGGTCGATGTCTTGAGGAAAATTTGGGAGATTTTTTTCCATTTAGAATCTGTTGGTATATTGCAAATTTTAACGGCTCAAGTAACTGATAGACACCATGGTAGAGGAAAAGATGCTTCCATTTGTGTTCACAGAATTCATATGAAAACAATTCTGTAAGTGTTGTTCGAAATTTTTTCCTGCTGCCTATCGGATTCGTAATTTCGAGGTCACCCACTCATTTTCTTTTGTATAACGTGCAATTGTGCGATGCTTTCTAGAGATTAATTTGAAAGTTTCGTTAGTTCGCTTCAGTGAAATTACACTTGAAAACATATTACTTTGGATATAAGCCTTAAAATAATCTACTTAACGTTTCAGTTAAGATATGTACTGAAACTCTCGAATAGTATATTTCTCCAAGCAACTCAGCTTCGCATTATTTACTCAAATGATTCAACCATGTTCTCACGTTTTGCATTCTTCGCATGTGGTATCGAACAGGAATAGGAATTGGACGTTTAGCACAACTTTTTTTCCCTCAGGAATATGCTGATTACCCAATTACTCATTCCAAAATATTGTACTCTAGGATGTGATGTACTATGAATGATTTTCAATGTCATCATGCGACATGATAACTGCACGTATCGTTCACATTCGCCGTATGCCTCGTAAAAAAGATGAGACGAATTCTGTTACAAATTGGACAACAAATAACGATCGGAGTTGAGTGCATGCGATTGAATTATCCCAAGAAATACCTAATTCCTAATGAGTACGCAGTTTGTGGTGAACAGCTGAGATATATGTTGAAGGAGCAGGGTTTGTTTGATGATGCACCAATATCCTTAGTATAGTTCGCTTCGTTAATGAAGGTGCGCTTTAGTGTGATGGAGAACGGGGTATTTCAGCATTCAACATCGAGAGTTATTATTTTAGTTGTCCATTTTAAAGACGAACGCTGTTTTACTGTAGTTGGTGTGCATGATGCGTCATTATTTTTTTTGTGGCACAGTCATACTGTGAAACTTTTATCTTTAGTTGGACAAATACTCAGTACAACTTAAATGTATGTTCGCATCCAACCGCGAATAGTCTCAAGTCTCAAAATTGATGAAGATTCGAGCATGAATGAATGGAATTTGTCTCACCGATTTCGTGATCGCAATTTCCGGATGTCGTCCTATTATGTCCTCATCTCTCCTTGCAGTTTTCGAGTTTCAAAATTCCACAGATACATGTTGATGGATGGATGTCGTGCGTAAATTTTAATTCCTTGTAATATCATTTCTCACAAAAGCACATTCATACAGTTGTTTATCTGGTGCTGTTGCAGTACACAATTGTCGGTCATACACAAGAAGGACAACCAATTTACGCACTTCAGTCAATTTCACACACTGAACAACGTCCTAAAATTCAACCCAGTCAGCAAGTAAGATGTTATGATGTTCAATATATATTTGTCAAATGTATATTAGCATCTAATAACTTCGCTCATTTTTTGATTATTTGCAATGTGAAATCGAAGTACTGATCATTGGTGATCCACATTTTCGTCGTTGCTAGATTAAAGTTGAGTGCATGCGTCATCAAGAAGGTTGAAGGTTCTCTGTTGCGAAACTCTTCTAGTTCATCGCAGCAGAGCTCATTGCAGTAAAATTTTTAGAATCGGCAGTGACTGTTTCAGTGTCAAGCCATAGAGATGTTTTAATGTCTCCGTTTAATTTTCAAATATCTTAGTTAGTTGTCTTCCATCAAAATCTGGTATGAAAATAGACATAAATGTGAGATTTTTACATTTTGCAATTTGACCTCAAAACCAGAAATCTCCAGATTGCTCATTACTAAACCAGTATGTTCTCGCATTTCCTTTCCTTAATGTCCCCATCCTCTGAATAATCGCTCCAACGGTTGGTTGTCAATATGTGTGCACCATTGAGTTATTGAATTTGCATGTAATTTTTCTGTGTCTTGTACTTTTTTGCCTTATTTACACATTTCAGTTTGATTTTCTTTCCAGTTTATTCATCCGTAAACTCTAATCTCAATACTGTAGCGCCGTGCCTCCCTTTCGTGAATTTTGAATTTTGAAGCAGTGAGGGAAATAGTGTTTTCAGTTTTCTGCTCGAATGACAGAATTAAACTGAAGACTTTCCAAAGAGTGAGGGTTAGGGAGTGGGGAATTCGAACTTTTCTAGAATGTTCAATGGAAATTTTCAAAAAATTCGAAAATTTTAATAGTGATGGTGAGTCGGAAAAGTTGTGGTTGTGCAGTTCAATTACATATGCCTTTCAAGTCGACAAATGGAAATGTACTAATGAATAAAGAATGACGATTCCGTTTTTAGATCTATCGACTAGCTGATTCATCCGGTAAAGCAAGATATGCATACGCATTACATCCAGCTATCACCCCTCCAACTCGGACGGTTCAAACCATCAAACAACCACCACAACAACAGCAGTCAATCAAACAACCCATTAGAACTGTAGCACGTGAATATTACGTACACAGTGATGAAGTGCTCAATGAAATGAAATCAACACCTCTGATTCAGAATGCTGACGTTATGGTTTGTTTTTCGTATACGTTTATGATTTTACCGATACATAAAGTGTCTTTTTCGTGCGAATAATATTTTCGTAGCATTGGTGCAAGCAAGTACTCGTGAAACGTATACATCTATAAAATTTCTGGGCTGCCAATTGCATTTCCGTTAAGAAATATAGAAAATTCTTGGGCTATTTTAAAAATGCAATCTAGAAGTCGAAAATATATAATAACCGCGATAAGACAAGAAGGAAAAGATGAACTTCGAAGATGCGCAATAAGACAAGAAATGCAATCTGAATAACCACCGTTGTCACTCTTCCTCATTCTGCCCTGACGTTGCTTCCCACGACTGAAAGCTTCATGAAGCTTAGGCATTATCTGTGAAACTCTTTTCATTACAAAAATTGAGCTGAACCTCGATATCGAGAAGTTTCACCAGCAATGAATGTTCAAGAACAGCGGAGTGAACATCCAACAATGTCGCGTTTCATTTATCACTTCCAGAGTTCATCTTTTCCCTCATTATCGGTCTCCATATTGGTGCATATAGCATTCCTTGCGTTACTCATTTCTGTGAGTGTGTATCGTGATTTTCCCGTTTCAAGCCATACAACTTCTGTCTGTTAATATTTAATAGTTGTAGTTTTTTGATTTATGCATTTATGCATCTATCATCCCAGGTTAATATCTTTGTAGTACATCCTTAAGCGCGTCTTTCCCATCTTTTCCATACTTTATGATATCTAAAAGTCAGTCCATCGCGCTTTGAAAAAATTCGTTTGCCACCAGTTTTGTACCATTTACGAAGTCGGTTTCTTTGAAGGAAATTAAGAACGTTTATTAGTCATAAAAATTTCAAACTTTCATACGCCTGACTGAATTCAAAATTCATCTACGAGATCTTCTTATAAATCCTTACGGTATTAATCTTTGGATGCGTTTTGGTTCATTACTCCGTTCTTTTTTGACTCATTCAAGTATGCTGACTGTCATCGGATGAAATGTATGAAAATTGCTACCTCGCACTAATGAATTCCTCAAACGCGCATCAGTGGTACTACGAAGGAATTCAGGTTATTCCTGGAACGTTGTTGCCTATCTGTAATAAGTATATGAAACAGAATCATCCCATTGAATCGACAGTTGCAAATGATTATTTTTATTATTAGTATCAGGTGAACCGTATGCAAACGGAGCAAATTCAGTCGCCATCTTCCGCAACAACGTCACAAATCACATTTATACAACAACAGCAACAAAATATCGTGACGCTAAATAAACTGAAGAAGAAACCTGTTGCACCAGATGAAGATCAGAGAGAATCTGACCGAATGAGGTATCAATTTTATTTCAGTAACTTATTCCATCACTTATTCGCTTCGTGTACTGTACAAATGCTGCGCTATTGTTCGTTGTGAATATTTCTGAATAATGCTGATTTTGAGCATATTTTTAATGCATTGTTTCAGTGGTAGTCCCTTGTAAAATCATTGCTGGTTGTAGGGGAAAAGACTTATGAGCACTTAGACATAGGCTATTATTATGCTCATGGATACTTTTCTTAAATAATGGGTAATGCTGAAAGCGTTATCGTAATGATCAAAGTTGGTAGTACTTCTAAAGCGTGAGATTGTATTCGCTGTATCTGCGATAACAGTGATCATTATTTTAAATCAAAAATAAAGCGCACAAATTTAGCGATTCAACCGTAGCCGCACAAGCTGGCGCTATACAGCGTTTTGGTACATTGGCCGGTTGGAAGCAAATGGGTGCATGGTTGAAGGCGGCCGAGAAGAACGGTGATTGGAATCGATTGAAATTATTGTTGAGTCAGTGCGCTCAGGTATTTGTGATGCTTTTAATTTATGGCTACAATTTAATTCGATTTCTTTTTTACACAAAGCCTAAGCCAAGAATGCATCATGAGAACAGCATTGAAAGTAATTTTGTTTAGTGCATTAGCACGATAGCAATCTAATGAAATTCGTGTTCATTTATTTTGTCGCATACAAAATTAGGCTCAGTCATTAATCTAATTCAAAATGACCTAAAATGCATTATTCAGGCAAGTCTAACAGTTGAGTTGTTACAAGCGAATGACACGCCAAGATTCGTGAGGAAGCTATCGAAAAGTTGTGTTGATGTTGGTAAGTTGCATTTGTGAGTTCGTATTTGACGCCAAAATAAGATGCTCATCTCCATAATATCAATGTTTCATGTTACGAACGGTAATTGCGATTCGTATAACTGAGGAAAGAACATCGAAGAATTATCAGAATAGTCATACATGGATGGTGATGTTAAGAAGTAAATCATTCAGAGTTATAAGAAATAGTGTTCCTCAAAAGGAAAATGTTACCATTAAGTTACCATTCAAATGATACCCTCTGAAAGCGTTCATTGGAAGTAATTTCACTGAAGGTGCGGTGCACAAAAAGTGTGAATGGGTTGCAGTTGTTCTTTTTTAGACGTACGGAAAGTAGCTGGAGATTTGGTGTTGCGGTGGAAGAAACTGATAGCAGCGCCATCATCAGCAAGTAATCAACACATTGAGGAAGAGCCGAAGCGAGTTGGCTCGGCGAAGCGAAAAACGCCCCATCCTCAGACAGCTTCATCGTCGACGAAAGGCACTGCTGCATCCAGTAAAATAGCTAAAAAGAGCAAAAATATCAAGCAAGAGATGCGAAAGAGATCAGATGATTCGAACACCCTCTCCCAACAGCTATCATCTGATAATGCTGACGACGATTCAACCCGGGAAAACTCTCCGAGATTGGAAACATCAACGAACGCACAACCTAAATCGTCTGCTTCAAGTGATACTTCTGTCGATTCATTAACGGCCAAATCAGAAGATTCCAGCACAAAGAAGAATCAAACAACCGAGCAGAAGGCGTCATCTTCCTCGAAAACATCGCAGTCGAACAAAATCAGCGAATTCAACATGTTCGAAAAGTTGCGACAAGAACGCAAAGAAGAGAAGCGACCAAAGCGAGCTCGAACCTACATGGCCAAGTTTCGATCAACAGGTAATTGGCGACAAAGAAGTTTTCGAAATTTTCTATCGGATCAATTCTTTCGTCCTAATCTATTATGTTTTTATGTTTACATTTTATATTTTCTGATGTTTTTTTCGAGTTTGTTTATTCTTCGGGATCGTTTTGTTTTTGGTTTTATCTCTCGTCGTCAGTGTCAGATTGGAAATTATGACTAGTTTTCATTATATTTTCAAGTCAGATACGTTGTTTCAGGTGCGGTGGAACAACTCATAATGTATTATTCTATACGGGTGATTGTACAAAACGTGCTCTTGTATATTGTGTTTTTTCATTCAGTCGTATTAGCGAAACCACAAATCATTTTAAGAAAATTTTCGCAAACAATGACGTTTGTTTGATTGGATAGAAACGGGCTTGTGTTGATTTTTTTGTTAATTGTATGTTGAATTTGTACGAAAAGATTTGTTTCGTTCTATTCCAATGTGTATATAATGTATAGTGTATAATATTAAAACAACGCATCGGCATGCATCAACGAACATCCAAAATGATGTTAAAGTGCTGATCACATGATAGCAGCAAACGGAAGTTGGTTATCACCTTTTATCACTTCATTATTAATATCTGTGCATCAGGCGACCTTCAACGGCAACTTCGCATGGATTTGACGATTCGGAAGTGCTTCCTGTGATACTTTATGCAACCAGAAACATTCAATCAGTATTGTGTCGATTAACAGCAGTATTCTTAGAACTTCTAACATTAGGGATCATTCTGTGGTGCTATTTGGGTCGGGTGCGGTGGTATTTCGGGTCAGTATATAAATGTAAATAATTGAGATGATTACCGATGATGATAATATAAGCATCGATAAGGAAACGGTGTTTGTTTTCAATTGATGTGTTGTGGTATCGCTCAACAATGAACAATTGATCAGTTACAGTGGTGAATGATAAAAGCAGCGAATCAATGAAATCTTTTATTTCTTATTCTCCTAAAGAGTTGTTTTTGTTGAGCAGAATTCTTTCCTAAAGTTCAGCAAATCTGAGTGCCTAGTTTTAAATAAACCTGACATTTTTAATTCAAAGCATTGAAAACCTTGATCGGCATCAGTTTTTTAAAGTATATTCGTAAGTGGAAATTTGATTTCATTAATTCTCATTGGACAGTGAAGTAAGTGATCATGAAAAACTATCTCAACTGTTCAACATTTTACGATGACTGATGTCGGATGGTCTCTTCTGATAATGAATAGAACATCGTCGCAAGATAGTGACACTGTAATTGTCGTCACGAATGAATTTAGGTATCAGTGAATCAAATCGAAATAATCACACATCAGCCAACCATTAATAATCCTCACTGAGTCGTTGAATAATCCAGTAACTACTTCGCGGTTCACTTTCCTTTTGGTTTGTTCTTGAAAACAGGCTTTGTTGAATGACGCTTTTCATTATTTAGCTGTGCGCATATTAGAGCAATAGACATCATAAAGAGAGGGAACTTACTGTAAACAGAGTGCATTTATTTCGATGAATTGGAAAAAACTTAATCGCAACTATGAAAGAATCAGAAGAAAAACGAGCAACAACTCGTATCCGTAATCGTTGCCATAGAGAATCATCGTACATATCACTGAAAGATTCTATTTGTACTTTCGTTGCGCATCAGAAATTATTGTAGTTGTTCAATTTTGTTTTTTCTTTTAAGCAGTGAATAGTGCTTTCGTTTCTGTGATTCGTATTCGTTATTTCGAATATTTGTAGAAAATTACGTTTGAACTATAGAATTTTTTTCAACCTTTCATGTAATGTAGTTATTCGGCTTCTAGATAACCTTTTCTTTTCAACATATCGACAACATAATGATCGAGTGAACATTCAAATAGTAGTTTTTTTAAGATTCACGAGCTGAGTATTCCTAGATCCAACTGTGTTTGTTTGCATCACAGTTATTATGTGATATTTGATATGCTGACATGACGTATGTGTGAATAAATATGAAGAATATGTTTGATACAAATATTGTATGAAGAATAATGAAGTCGGAAATATAAAAGAGCACGCTTTATGCAGTCACCCGTATGGATATTACACTTCATGATTTTGATTTTCATGTTATCTTTTGGTTTGTTCAGCAATGAGTTCCTTTCGAGCAATTATTTCGAATGCATGTAATTGATTGAGTAATTTCACAGTTGTAATTTCAGGATTGGAAGGTGATGCGGATGAAGCAACAAGTAAAGGCAATGGCGCTGTTAAGAAGAGAATGCCCAGTAAAGGCGTATTGGATGCAAAGAAACGTGGTACATAGTTTTTTATTATCAACTTTTCACGTACCATCAATTTTGTTCATTGTGACTGCAATAGTATTTTTATTATATTGAAGTCATGATTGGAGCTTTTGTGAAGTGTTCAGCTAGAGTTGTCCGTGTGAACACTACTTGTGAAAGAGCGATTTCTGGATATGTTACACGTTTTGCATTTAGTGGTTCATTTCAGTTGGTATAACGTAGAAATGACCATATCACAATTTTAATAAACAAGTATTGCACATAGTAAAATCTGGTCAATATTTCAATTTTGTGACAGTGTTCGAATCGTTCCATTATGCCGTCATTCGTTTCATTGTTAAATTTACCGTTGTTGTGAAATTCAGAAAAGAATGCGGCATCGTCATCAAAAGTTTCACCTGCATCCTCTAATATGCCCCCACCAATCACATCAACACCTCCGTCGGAAAAGAAACTCTCACAGAATTCACCCACACCAAGTAAGTTCCTCATCTTGTTGTCATTTCAATTCGGTTATGAGATTCTAAGCATGTGTAATGGCAATTGGTGTGTGTCGAATATTGTGTTCAAGTCTCAATGAATAATTCAGGAGTAATGGCAAGTAACACATTTATGGACGCACTTATGGATCCGGTCATTAAGAAGACAACAGCTAAACCAGCGAAGAAAAAAGTTTTACTGACGGCCCCAAAACCGCTTCCAACAACGTCGTCGATCATGCCAAGCGTTATGGTTGGTTTTATTCATTCAAATGTATTCGTTTTCTAGATGTTCTCTTTACCACAGATGTTGTATTGAAAATGGTATTCATACAATACGTCATTCTCTGGGTTGATTACATGAATCAGATTGATAAGAAACGCTGCAATTTTCAGGAAGGTCTTTATAGTGATACATCTAAATTGCTGAACAAGGATCTGAGTGCTAATAAATCGGATGAGGCGAATGCGAGTGCAGCAGACACAAGCAAAGTTGTTGAAGCTGTCGAACCGAATGTCACTCCGATCGGTAGTCGTAGGATTAGATTCGCGGATGAGATGGGTTCTGATTTGGTGAGCGTACGCTACTTCGAAATTGAAGAAGGAGAGCGAAGTGCGTTATATTCTATCATTGAATTAGTTCATTTCATTCATCTTTTCACAAAAATTCCTTTCTTTGCTACGAAAAATTCAATCATTTCCACATTACAACAACGTATTTATCGTTGGTTTTCTACTGCTTCATTCGTGCAAGAAATTTGCAATCATTCGGTATTACCTTTACAAGAGCAACAAGTCAGTGATAGCAGTTTTTATAATATAAAATTTCAGTGAACGTCAGTAAGTTATCATCGGAAGATATGAAACATTTGGAGATGCAACGTGAACGCAATTTCATGAAGGAAAATCGGTCGTTGAATAGCGACGATTTCGCATTGGACGGTAATGATGAGGCAAAACCACTCATTGCGGTACGTCGTTTAGAGTTGGGGATATTGGGATGTTGTTGGTGCAGTGGTTGTTGTCGCTGTTATCTTATGCAGGCGTCTTAGATCAGATCCATGCGAGTGTAGACAATGTGCCAGGAAGTAGAATCTGCAAGGCAACTCATTGCTATGTGGATGTGGACAAACTTGGCGAAACTAGTGTGTGGGATTACCGGTTTAACATATCCTTAAATTCGGTTGTTATACCAGTCAGACCCCACCAACAGCCATGTTGAGCGGTTGTTCGCCTTTGAGGTCTCAGAGAATTCTCTGTAATTATGCACAGAAGAAACAATGGTATTTCAGTGGCGTCTCATTTTGGTGGATGATGCAAAGATATTCGAGAGTCGTGGTTCGCAGAGCGTCGCGTGTAAGATTGAAGAGGAACGTCAAAAAACCGTTATGCGGCCATTCTTTGATCCTTCAGTGTACGAATTCACTAATTCATTTCAATTTAGCACTCAATTTCGTTTAATGACGATTAAGCGATCGTAAATTCTCGAAATTTAACACGTACTCTGTGTTATTATTTGTTTTGATATTTCGGTTTCATTTCCATAATCAGTACTTTATTTTTATATTGGTCAAATTTCATTTTAGTCCAGCAGAAATGGCCGACGCTGAAGAGGAACTGATACCGAATCCTGTTCCACCAATCAATATTCCCCTTGAAATGATTGATGAGGTTTCTGAGGTACGACATTGAAGCTTATTCTTTGCTTTGCTTATTGCTAACAAGTTATTCAATATGACTCGAGGATGGTAATCTAGCGGTGTGGGTGTTATCGATATAAACGCACTGTTACTTGTACTGTTCTTTATCTCGTTAAGTCTCGCGAGAGATAAAGTTATTACTCCATTGAGTGGCATTCATCGCGTTCACTTAATTTTTTGATTCATAGAAACGATTGATGAGAGTTTTTTTTGGTGATCCAAATATAAGAGTTAGTAATATTCTGTAATGCAGTAAGTGATGATGCAGGTACAGACTGAAATACCTTCAACACCATCAGTTGTCGTTAATGCGAAGGATGAGAAAAAAGCTGATGAGACGAGTGCAATCGATGTTCAGGTTTGTGGAGATCTGTGGTTGATTCGTCTTTTTACTCTGATCTTATGTCATGATATTAGGTGAGTTTATGTGAAAGAAATTCGGGGTGAGGGAGCATATAGGTGGGAGAAAGCTTTGGTGAGCGGAATGGACGGTGGATTAGATCAAATAGGAAGAATTAGTGAAAATTGCGTGCGGTGGTAGGATGGTGGTGATTGTTTCGAGGTTGAGCGGTGTGTCAGCTTTGCAGAATACATTGTCGGTGTATTTCGAACATTTAGCGCTCTCCGATCCAAATGACAAATGGTCAGTTGCTATTTCCGATGTTAGTTTTATGAGCTTTATTGTTATTAAGAAATGAAGATGTGTGATCAATAGGAGTTAAGTTCACTCAACGACTGAGCAATGAATCTTCTGAAATGGTGTAATGGTTATCGATATTTGGAGCATATATATATAGAAAGATGTTTGAGATGTTTGAAATAATTTGGAATGAATCCATGTGAACGTTCCATGATATCAAAGATGTCTTCTCATGATGTTCCTTTAGAAGGTCTCGTCTCACTCATCTAAGCTTCTTTTCGAAGTAAAGAAATCTATTGACTTATTGTTTTTGTTTTTTTAAGATAGAGCATGAATTGTACGCGTATAATTAACAATAAAACAGAATACACGTTGAGAATATTTCAGAAATTGATGAATCAGTTGAAAGAGAAGGGAATAGTGTCGTCGGGATCGGATTTGGCGAATATCCTGAATAAAGTGACGACGGTATCTTCATCGCAGCCATCGACAGCAATCCCACAGATCCCCATTATACCAACTGTACCCGCTAGTGCTCCTCGCTGTTCCACCCAAACAACATATGCACAAATCCCATCTGACTCTCTAGCACAGCTACCAATGCCAATCGCTCATCAGGGCACTTTCCCATCGACGTTCGTTTTGTTTGCGATCTTCTGCATTCATAGTTTGCTTCATAAGGATAATTTGCATCGATAATATCATTTCAAACGCAGATTGCGCATTCGTTTCGCTCATGAAAATTATCATTGAGAAATGAGAATGCAAGATGAACTCTTTGCAGGTTACCAATGCCTCCCAGGTTACCTCCACCACTACCGAATGCAGTAGCATCATTCCCAGTGCCCATTCAACAGCAAGCACCTCTGTTGAACGGTCCGGTACCGGCTGGTGTTACTCCCACTGTTGGTGTTGATCCGAACCCAAACAGTGGACCTTCAACTTCGGATGCTGCTTATGAGCCATACGGAAGAATGCGTAAGTCTTAATCTGTATTGATCTTCACTTTTCGTTCATTCTCTGCAAACAGTCTTGTTTTTTGATAATGGTATAGGATTGCGATTTCGAGCACTTCAAACAAAGCTTATTTTTGCGTCGAGCTAGAGGATATTTATTCATTGTCACGATATTCATAGCCTATGCTGTAATTGGTTTCATTATTAGTGCGTTAATGAGCGTTAAATGGTATTGGTTGAATCAGTCAATTCGCAAGTACCGTTAAGTGAAACAAGAATAACTTCAATTGCTAGTCGTTTTTAAATTTATTTTCGAAACTTATCTCTCTCTATTTGTTGTTTTTAGCTGTTAAGCAGTGTTCGTTCTTCCGTGCCGGTGCGTGTAACTATGGATCGAGATGTCGTTATTCACATGGTGATGAACCAACTGTAGGCACCAGACCTGACTATTACGGGCGATTTGTGCCAGGTCGCGGTGGACGTGGACCTTCGATGAGACCTCCACGAGGCGGTCCACACAATGACAGTGACTATCGGTTCGTTTCATTCGCTATTTAAATGCAGTCTCGTTTTCGTGCAGCTATTTTATGGTTCTGCATACCATTTTCGCTACTTAAAGCGATAATTCTTTCATTGAAGCGTATTTTCTTGTGGCGCAATTGTTCGACAGAATTTTTTGGAACGATAATTCAGTGCAATTAAGAGAATACTGATTAGCTTAATGCATACCTTTGACGTTACCGTTGACAGTGTTTGTGGAAATGAATCACTTCATTTGAGATACTTTCAGTCGTGGTGCTCATGGATATGGTCCAATGAGACGAAATTTCGACCGTGAGCGTGATTATGACCGAGATCGGGATCGAGATTATCGGGGATACGATCGATATGAACGCAGAAGAAGACGAAGTCGTTCGAGGTCTCGTAGCAGAAGCAGGTTCGTTGTTTTACACACTCACTCATAAACTGCCATTCAACTCATTTGGTTAAGCCAAATGAAACGTTTTATGGAGTAGCTGACTAATTCATGTTTTTAAATGTTAAGGTCCCGGAGTCCACCAAGACGCCCTCGTTCGCCAGACAGACGTGGCGGTTCACGTCAAAGTTCACGTGACGATAGAAGGCCTTATGATGAGAAAGATAAGGAAAAAGAGAAAGTAGAGGAGATGACGAAGAAAGTGAATATTGACCAACAAAAGAATTCACCACCAGAAGATCCGGTACCGTCAAAATCATCCGATGCTGTTAAAGCAAATCCGCAAATTGATTCGCCATCAAGCCCTAAAGCTTCATAATATACAGTTGTTATTAGTTGTTACTTTGTTTCATATAAATATTTCGTATTCTCACTAGATCGTTTCTTCATAACTCCAGCACATTTTTGCATTAGGCTGGCCATTGTGAGAGACGTTTTCCGAGTTTTTTCAACGCAGTATCGTTTTATTGTGCCCAAATATACTTTATTGATCAGTTCATTGTTCATGTGAATATTATTAAATGAGGTAAAGTCAGGTAGTCATTTGCGAGTCGAAAGTAAGGTATGTTTATGGAGAAAAGGTAAAATTTATACGTACTTCAAATGAAGCATGGCTTGTTTTATGACCAATTGACAAAACAGATCTATTTGGCATATTTAGTTCAATTCCCATTCTGTGGTTGAATATCCTATCGTGCTGTATCCGCGTTCCTTTCAAGATTCTAATTTATTTGTTGTCCTGTTGGACTCATCAGTCTCCACGCTAGGTCACTCAAATTGGTAAGTAACTGCTTCATTCACTTATAAAACAGTTTCACTGATTTTGAGTCGACAATCTATCACTGACGAGCATGTGATTAGTGATTAGGAAACTATCAGTGCATACAAATGAGCAATCAGGATTCGTCTCCACTTGGTTATCTAACCTTTACTTTTAGGCCATTTTCTCTCTATAAAATGTTTATTTTTAGATGCAATTTAATGTTTGTTTGAATCTGTTCATTTTAACCTCTTTATATGTTGAATGCCAAAAATGGGTAGATAACACACTTATATGTTGACTGTTTTTATTCTCGATATTTCTCTCTTTCATGTCCATTTGCTCAATATGAACTTCTCAGTTCACATTGAGCAGCTTTCCGTTTACACAGATTCCGTCTTGATGAAACCTGCACGTGTCACAGGTATATTTTTGCGTATCACAGTTCTGTTTTTCGCTATTCATCGTGTTCACAATCGCACAGCGCATCATTAACCGTGTTCGTATTTGTTGTTGTTATGATGAATATCGTTATGATTTGATGAATTTCATTCTGATTTTAAGTTTGATTTAAGGAATGTACGATTTTAAGTTTTTCTTGTAAGTTTTGATTTTGAAGGAATGTACGATTCAGTGCTAACGCTCCTAGAATTAAGCATTCGTTTAATTATGAGCGTGTGATGTGTGCAGCATTTATGATAATACTATCATTTGATTGATGAAGTTCAACAGCCGAATTTCTCGAGAGTCAATTAGATTGCTTGACCGTTTGAATCTGGGAAGGTGTGCTTTTGTATTCTCTAGAAGTGGGTTGGCTGAATGAGATGAATCTTTTTTTTCAATCCCAGGATTCACTGGATGCAGTGCAAAGACTATTGCTCTTTCCCGCTTAAATTATTTGATCGTCTGCAATTGAATGAAGCGTGAAGTGTTGTCCATTTGAATTTATTTACTTATACTGTGCATGCATATCGATGAAGTTTCTTTATAACTGTGATACATGTAAAGATAATTGATGTTGTTTTGTATTGTTTGTTCATTGATTGAATGCAATTATGCATGCACTTCTCGGCAGTTCAGTGATAAAATTGAATGCAAATAAATGATTGCGTGAATCATCAAAACACGGAATCATATGATTCAGTCGCCCCAGTTCAATTTGAAATCTCACAGAACATTGCTGAAAATTCATTATTGCTCGCAAAATTAAGACCGCATAGTTACCAAGATTTCAGCACACTCTTGTGCGGTAACAGTAATTGTTGTCGAAAGAGGATGAACATTAGTAAAATGTGCCCACTCTTTGAATATCACCACATAAATTTACCCGCTCAGATCAGAATATCGAAAAGGATATCAAATCGAAAATATGTTGCTTTCATGACTTTTATTGACGGCGTAAGAGGCACCAGTTTCGCTGCAATAACTTCAAAGCATGCAAAACGCATTACTTGGTGCATAAAAGTGCTGATGAACGTTGTCACATGGATACGTTCCTTCCGTTACTTTTATTGACTCACGATATTTTCACATTGTAGCATCCAGAAACGCTAGGCTCATCCCAGATATCTCTAAGTAGACTTCAGAAAATAGAACATTCTTCAGCATGAGTCGAAATAAATAATGCGCCTCGTTTGAATTTCCATTTATTGTTCATTGCTTATCTTACAAATAATCGATTTTGATTTATCCCAAAAAGTTTATAATTTTTTATTGATCCGTATCGTTTCTGTAATAATGCAGCTACTGAATCATTAATCGTATTCATATGAAGTTTATTGTTGTGTCTTAAATTTTTATTGATGTGTGTTTGGTGTTTTCAATGTTTTTTGTGTGATTATTCTATATTTTTATTCGCTTTCATGACTTTTATCGATGAGATAAGAAACTGGCTTTTGAGAGTTTCAATTTGAGTTCCGATTTCATTCGTGAGCCTTGTCCTTCTTCAACTATCATTTTTATGCTTTCTTATGCGTCTTTAGTTATAATTTGTTTGTGTTGGCCGAATAATTTTGATTTGTTGATTTTTATGCAAACTTCCATTAGTTTATTTGATTTTCTTATTGAAATAAGAGTTATTTTTGATATTTTCTTCTACCTGCAAGGTCATGACGTAGCATTGTTCCGTCAAATGTTCTCTACGTATGTTATTATCGTTGCTATCACCTGTACGGATAACCAGAACTGTTACATATTCCCCAGTCACCGGTATGATCAGCTAATGTTGACCAAAAAAAGTTTTACTTACAAATGTTCATTTGATTTCTTCTTTTAGGCGTTTTTAGTAGCCAAAATAGCCAAAATTTTATCACATCACATAATTGTAATAAAATTTTGGCCACTTTAAGATTTTTAAAAATATTTGACAAATACAATTCGCAAACAATGTTATGTGATGATCGAATCAATAAAGCTTCCAAATGCTCGTACACAAATAAGTGGAAGTTGAGACTGTTATCAAATAAAGATTACTCTTCAAAATTCCACTGTCTTACCGTAAAAAATTCTATGCTGAATTTTAAGGATCTATTCTCTCGTCTAGCATCAATTGTACAGTAGCACTGAACACATTGCAATAAGAATAATGAATGTGGAGTGCGAGAAGATGGTAATGTGAAGTTTGTTATCTTTACATGGTGGGGCAGGAAAAAACATCATGTTGTAACCATAAACAATTGATTGGTGTAATGCATAATAAAATGACTTTTATACAGGAACATTGATGAGCACAGCTGAGTATTATATGCACATTAGTGGACGAAAATGAATGGGTAGCATTTGTATCTAATTGTAAGGATTTATGAGCACGGCACTCTGAATGAACCTCACAGTGATAACTGACTGTTGTTCAGGCCGAGATGAACTGAAAAGTACTCAGAAAATAGATCAAAGAAGAGTGTTGCCATGACCGAACCGCATAACTGAATTGTGGGATTTGAATGAAAACATGATCTTTTGATGGAAAAGTATTGCAATAACTAACTTTAGGCTTTAACTGCGGAGACACAATGCAATTCTATCAACAGTATTTTATTCAGCGACGTGAGAAAATAGAGTATAACTAATTTCATTGACAAAAACAAAAGACAATACACGCACTACTGCCACAGTTTTACACTACACTCACCTATGCGGACATATTACATGTCACTATGCAGCTCTCGGAATATTAATGTTGCGAAGGAATTAACACACGCATTCATGATTCGTCAGTGCGTTTTTATAATTAATAGGCATGCGTGGCAATACCAAACACGTTCAAAAACAGCCAACATGCTCAAAAGTAAAGCAGAAAACGGAAAAAACTGGAGTGAAGACAGATGAAAACAAGAAAAATTCATTGCAGCGCCATTCAGTGCGTTGACTATCAGGTAATGTTACGAGGTGAGACAGGATGGTAATGGCGCGATAGGTTCGAATTTAATTTTTTTCCGGGTAACTGCGGGGAGACTCCCGAAATTTACCCGGTGTTTAGGCTGTCTTGTCGTGGACCTGAGGAAACAATGGAAGCCAGCACATTACCACAATTCAAATTGCACTTCAGGACATTCTCGAACGCATTACTGGAATATTCTCCTATTCGCAGTTGAACTTTCTTGTCACTTGCATCCTGTAAATGGTATTGTATCAGCTCTCATGCTGTTATAATTGCATGCTCTGTATTCGAATTGCACATTTTTATTCAACTATATAACATGATGATTCAGCGTTTTGCTTTTATTGCTACGTTATTGCTTTATTTTTTTCAGCCATAAACCCTTATCTGTTTACAGAAAATGTAGCAGTTGCAAAGCGAGAATATTCTTCTTAACCCTTATGTGGTGTTCGCATCTGTGAGACCCACTTTCGTCTTTTATTAAAAGCAAAATGATACAGTTAATTAATTTTTCAAACTCAGATTATTCACTGGCCTTGGCTCATTTTCCGTGAAGAACATATATCAGAACCTTTCCATTAGAAACACACCGTAAACCCCCACCCCCCACACATTTCCATTAGAAATAAGATGTTCGGATCCACTGAACCTAACAATAAGGATAATAGAAATGTGGAAGTTGATGTTTTGCGTACGTAAACTCTGTCCTCCTCCTCTCTGGGCCTGCTAATAGTGTGTGTATGTGCGCGCGCACGCCAGTGTAGTTTTCTTATTATGACTGATCAAGATGGCCGAAAGGTGGTCTGTGCAGACGGCCCTGGAATTGATTTCGAAAGAGAGAGAAATTTTTGATGATGATGTAGAGGGAGAGGATTCGGAGGAAGAGGTTTTAGAATTTGAACATTACATTGCTGAATATTCAGAGTCTGATAGTGACTCTGAAGAAAATGATGAGGTTGAGCATCAGCCAGTTCCAAAACGAAAACGAGCCACAGGTCCAGGCCAGCCCAGCTCCAGAACAAGACAGTTAGCATGTAGGAAGCGAGGAAATATAGATGTCAAAGAATTTCAAAATAAAATGGTCTTCTCGCCCAAGAAAAGAGCCACACCGCAAGGCTACCCATGTGATAAGCATGCAACCAGGGTCAGCACGGATGGTAATTACCAACACACAAGACATCAAATCTTCCTTTGTGCTTTTCATGCCAGATTCTATCCAGAAAATTGTTCTTGACTGCATTAATTCAGAAGGAGGACATGTTTTTGGAGAGAGGCGGGAGGGAATGGACCAAGCCCATTCACATACCTAATTCGAGCTTCTTATCTTTGTTGAACTTTTCAGATCCGAAAGAGAATCAGCAGAATTCCTGTGGGATGCAAAAACACCCACAGATTAAAACTTTGCCCCTCATGCGTTTTACAAAAGTCAGTAGTTTTGAAAAATCTTGCCTCGCTTGCAAATTTGTTTCCAGTTTCCATATCTTGTTTCAATTGATTTGCTGTTTATACTAGCATATATACTCTTTATACTGCTTATAATTGGGACGAAGTAAACATCTGTTGAGTATTTTGACATAAGAGTGTTTGATGGTGAGGCATTAAAAAGCACAAAATGCAACGCATCCACCAGGATCGCGAACACCGGCTGTGTAACAAAAACATAAACATCACATAAGGGTTAAATCATTTGGTTGAACCAGACTCTTCGCCTTCTCGATCACCATTATTGTTTTCATCACTACGCCTGTCCACGGACTCATTCGCAGTATCCGGCGAACTCCTTTCGAAAGCACTCACTCCGATCATTTCCTCCTCCCTTTTCCTCACAACTTTCTCGTCGTCTTCATTCTGATGTTCCTCATTCGATTTCAGTGCATTTGGAACTGTCTAAAAATAATTAATTAGGGTGATAAATTGAAATGACATTTGTTCGTTACTTCATTCGTCGATTCATCGATTACAGTGAAGGGATTCAATTCCCACAGAATTTGAGAGATAATAAGTAATGAGAGGAATTATGATCGCTTGATATTGATAAAAACAGATCGAACTAAAAGAGCTGACCAGTCATGAACAGGTTGTATATTTCACAAGTTAGAGTACAATCTTACTTGAAAGCGCTCTACTGAAAGCGACGTGTCATGAGATCCGATAGAAGAGTCAGAATCGGACGGAGTTACCGTATACCTTCTATCAAATTCTGATTCATTCAACAAGGCGTCTATTGCAGATTCATCATAGTCGATTGGAATCCTATAAAACATGCAAACAGTGACAATACAACGAACAAAATATTCATCAAATTTTGTGATTCGCATTAGAGCACCATAGAATCTCTCGCAAGAATGTTTCGTCAACTTGTGTTGTTCTATTTCTGAAAGCCTTCAATTACTTGCGTAATCAGCGGCCATTGCAGTGGAAATCCGTTGCGAAATCACCTTTTTTTTCGACTGTGAGCGTTTTTTGTGAAATATATTAATATTGCAGCATCGAAAACAAGACGAAAGCTGAAGCAAAGTAACGGAGCAAACTTTTTGATGGAGCAGTGAGCATCATTTTGTTTGTTATATTCATCCCATACTTGCTTTGCGTCTTTACTCAAATCAGGTGCTTTAATGTGTGTTATCGCTATGTACGGCTTATTTATTTTTGCTTGTTTAAGAAAATCTTGAGATGGCAGGAAACACATCTTAAAAATAAACGTACAATTGTTATTGTCAGTAATTCGAGCTCCTCAACTGCTAATTTTGAATATGATGAAAGGCTGCTTATGAATAGAATAATTTCTGCGTGGCTCAAAAATAGCAAAATCACATTAATAAGGCTAACAATAAATCCAAGCGATTATCTCATTGAACGCCTTTCCTACTATTGATAGATGGTTCAGCTTCATAAATATTTTTTTGAATAATTACATGACAGGTGTTGAAGGCTGACTATTTCATACATATTATATAAATTTTTATTATCACACAGTAAAATAAGAACTTACAGTAAGATCATATTGGGTTCGAGGGTCTACTGTGAATGTCTCAATATGAGACCTATGAAATTTTGGATCAAGAGGGCAGTGCACTCGCACAGCTCGCCGTACCTTCAAACTTTCTTCTTATTAGATTGGAGAGACGCATATTATAACCAATGAATAATGCGTAAATTTTTGCAGTTATGTTCTTAGATCGCGAATACTGAACGGTTTGAATATTGACTTGAGAAACAGTTTCAACTGTCAGTAAAACACCTCGTACACTATGTTTACGTGAAACATTATCGAAGTTCGGAAATTTAAAGAAATGATCAAATTGAAAGTGAATGAATAGGAATTGGCATGAAGTCTTACATTAGTTGGATTAATGAACGACATTGTTGTGAAAAGGCGTTTCATATTTCTGGCATTGATGACTTCGAAAAGAACAGTCTTACTCGGGATGCAATGCAACGCCGTAATGCTGCTGTCCGCATTTAACACTTTATCAGCATTGCAGGTATCATTCGAAGATATTTTATTCTCTGACATTACTGAGCCGTTCTCTTGAGAGGTCATTTCTTTCTCATTTGATGCCTCAAAATATGCTCGCAGACTGAAATTTTATGGATTGATTCTTAGAAAAGCAAATCAATATTAGGTTCATGTGTGTGAAGTAGATGAATGAACTTCGGCTGTTATTTTCATCTACGATAAACTAAGAATGTGAATGCTGCCTATCGAATTTCAATATGAAAGTTCACCATGAATTTGAAAATTTTTTCGAGTCAATTTCTATGAGTATACATATTTAGTAAATGAAGTTAGCAGTTAGTAATCTCAGTGATCTTGTCACTATTTGAATGCGAGTAAGAAGCGAAACTCAGCAGATCGACGGCAGGAAAACGTGAGCTGAAAAAAATCTGGAATTTAATTTTATGGCATCTAACGAATATTTTTCCATACAACTCAACTTCGAAGATTTAAGAATAGAAAAGGAATTGACCGTTTTATTTTATGTGCTTTTATTTCGTTATCCTTGCAGCGTTCTTCACTTGCATCAACTGGCATATAATGAACGGAGAAGAATTGCTCATCTCGCACCTTATCAGACGTTTCAACGTTTGGCACGTAGCTTATCTGCACAAATTGATAGCAGTATTGAATAATGAGTCTTCATTGGATAATAATAACTGCATTCACTTACAACGGATATAATGGATAATGTTACCATCATACGGATTATGTATACGTCATGAAAGATGATTTGACTGTCATCATTTGTACTCAGCATTTATGTACCTTCAACAGAAAACAAAGCGATGATCTAATTTGCGTTGCTTCACGCATCAATCCAATGCAACAAACAACATCAAGTTTTCATAGTTTGAATCTGTCCCATTTTCATTCGTGCAATTTCCTTGCTAATGATTACGAGTTTTATGTGCCTCGATGTGACGTATAAGGAAATGACAGTCATGCATCCAAGATGCAAAATATGACAGGCACAAAAGAAGTGTTCATTTCGTTCACTTTAAAAGCAGCAATAGACAGTCACAGGGCACATGCACATCTTGGGGACTTGTTTTTCTTAGACCGAACCAACTACCGCAGCTAAAAGCAGTTCACTGGACCGAACCCCGCTTGTCCCACTATTAGCCGGAAGTGGGAAAATTGACTGGGCTCTAATGCTGTGTATCTGCCTGATACTTTTACTGAAATCGTATTTTGTTGAAAGTGATTTGTATGATGCGAAAACACATTAAATATTAGTTTTGCAGTTTACTCCTGGGTAACTGCTATACAAGACCATGCCCAAGTACAGTTTTCACAAGGGTACAATAAAGTTCTTGAGCAAAATTATAAGTGAGTATTCAATGCATTTACTTTGACGGGTAATTCTGAATGCGGTTCCAGTTGAAATGTTGCAGGATGAACAGTGAACATCTCATTACATGTTGTTTTCACTTTACATAGGTGCGTTCGCTAAAAGAACTTAAATACAATTGAAAATTACTTCAGCAATAATGAATTAATCTCTGTAGAATTCATGAGATATTACGATGAAAATTTCTGATGCAGCTGAGATCGTTTCACCACTTATTCTTATTTCATTGATGGCATTTTTATTTGACCAAGAAATGGTTTGCTGATCCCATAATATCATTGAAATTTTCATCGTAAACCAAACGATGCAGATGATTCAGTTTCAAACTGTTTAAGATTGATAGGTAAGGTCAGTGATATGAGACGTTTAAAAAAAAATTACTGCTCACTCACTACTGATGACAGAAGCAGACGCTCACTGCTCACCAGTTTATTCAGTGTTGCTCGCACACTGCTCATACTCATATTTTGCTCAAGTGCTCAAATCCTCGTTTACTGTTTCGTTTCACTCAAGGACTACGTGAAGTTTCACAGTTTTTAAAGGATACATCATTCTCTGGTCCAGTTGATGTTGATAATAGGTTGTTTAGAACGAACACTATTTTTAAGGTATGAAGAAACGAAAATGTTCCGGTAAATAAACCAATCGCTATACTAACTGCAGTTGGATTTCCAACAAGAAGAATCGCGCTAATTGGCTCATCATCATCGTTTCGTTGATTGAACACAACACAATCCCTCCGACGGACCCTTTCATATGAAACCAAGTCTAATCCAAAGTCAGCGTCCGTATCACTTTGCATCGCATTAATACTCAACTGAACCGTCCTGCCGACGCAACAATCCCACATGTGATTGGCTCTTTGAATGTTTCTTTTGAAATATAATTTTTGTTGAATTTTTGCATTCGCATCAAAAATTTGAATTTGAATTGCCAAGAAAATTTCTTCATCATCAAGAGCAACAGCTTTTATTTTCTGCTTTGAACTTTCATTTTACCCTGGAACTTTTTGAAAACAACTTTCATGGTGATAAAAAAGTACACACATATTTTCTGCAAAGTTCTAACAATCTCATAAGTGAATCCATGATATTCTAACAATTATCTGTTCATAAAACTTGAAATTGATTTCATCTAGATGAGGAATGGAATATGCACAATCTCTGATCGAAATGCTTTCAATACCACATAAAACACGTACCTTACAATTATATAATATAAAGCCTATCCGAACCTGCAAATTCGAATAAACTCACGACTTCGTCCAAAATGATCTCCATTCATAATGCACACTTATCCACTGATCGTCCCACAAGAATCAATCTATCCTTACGAGTTTTGTAAAAAAATCAAGTGCAAACGTGATTCACATTCGCCATTCATGTATCGAACCATTTTGGAGATTACTGAAGACTTTTTAGATGTGTGGCAATGTTTGGAGGTTCATCACAAATTGTCACCTATTTATTTGTCGGAGATAGTCGAAGAAAACAAACGAGAAAAAAAANAAAAAAAACATATAAAGGTATTCAATGTCTGTCAAATGTGCGAATGATGGTTTCTTAGCAAGGTAATTTCCAGTTACAATCTTGAAGGAAAATAATCAGAGCATTCCGCAATTGAGGAATCCATTTGTTGAATGCAGCAGAACATTCAAGAGAAGATGAGAATTTGAAACGTGAAGGCTATCACTATCGATCGATAAAATGCTTCGAAATGAGGTTTCCGCTGCCATGAAAAGTTATTCAACATCATGAATCATAGTAATGCAGTTCATGTTGCGATTGTTTTTAGCACTACGAGCACTATATCACTTATGCAGCATTCTATGAGGACAACCACAAAATTTTAAATCGTGATCTGAATACTGCATCACAGTGAATCCTTTCAGTAAGATTCATGTCGAATCTGTCTTATCCATTGCCAATATCAGTTGAAAATAAAAAAATTTCACTGAAACGTCGAACTATCGAGAAATCGCACAGAAAATGCCGAGGATGGATTGAAAATACGCAAATTCCAGAAGCGATGCAGGACGACAAAAGGAAATAAATTTGGAGCACGCGAAAAGATCCGTTAACAATAAGTACATAATAGTAGCGTATGACTGCGGGCAACCGTTTTACGTCAATATATTGCTCGCACTTGTCTCTTTTTTCTTAATTCCCACCTCATCCGAGGTCGTCGACTACTGTATTTAAAAATTGAAGGCTTTTTACCGACCATATATGGTCACAAAGGAAATAACTCATTCATGATATCACTGATCCATTCATTTAAGCATTTCAGCATGCTTCATCATCGTTTGAACTGTAACACCTCTTCATTCAGAACTTGATAATAGCATGTGACTGCAGGCAACCGTTTTACACCAATATATTGATCGTGCACTTTTTTCTGCTCAGAAATATATTCCACCGATATATTGCTCGCACCGGCCACTTCAAGTGGCGTTGTTGAGCCAAGTTATGGGAATGCGATTCGTTGAGCATTTATAAGCGCACAGAAATGCTTTCATTATTAGTATTCATGAATTTCACAATTTATCAACATTATCTTCATCACTGCTATTCACCAATTCCATTTTTTTAGCGCGTATCGAATGTATTAGTATGGCAGTCATGTTTAGCTGTTTTATAGTGTGATTATTCGAGATTTCATTAATCTTTGTTGAGTATTTGATATGCATTCATTGTATGTTTTACGTTTGTTGGACATTTCGAATGCGAGGTTGAATTGATAGCCATTCGGGTTTTTTGGATTTGCCATGATGATTGATAGACTTAGCCGATCAATACACTATTGTCATTGCGTTTTTCTTTGTGAATCGTGCTGTTTTTGATTTTTTTTTGCAATTTGGATTTGTATTGATTGGGTGACGTTCCGTGAAAGATGGTATTGTATAGCAGTTTGTGATTCATATTTTATTTTATTTTCTGTTCATTCACGAGTCACCGCAAGTTCGCGTTCTGCATTGCTTTTGCATTTTTTTATTGCAGTTATTCAGCATTTTTACATCTTATCACCGCGTTTTGAAGAAAAACGCATTTTGGATTTGATGGCGACTTTGATTGACAGCGATGCTGTCAATTTTTATGACGCTGAGATGAAATTCATTGATGTGTTAAGGATGGTGGTGCGTACATTCACCACTTTTTGAATTGTCATTCACTCTCGCATTATTATTACTTTTATTTACGTTTGTACTGTTGTTATGTTGATGTTTCATTCTCGATTTGAGAATTGTGATGTTGAGAAGTTCGAGACTGGACTTTTATTAGTGAGAAAGAAAGGGACGGTTTACATCGACGATTACGATGTCAGTAGTGATGTAGAGATTCGATAGTGATAGATGTTGTGATGTGATGTGGATGGTGTTGTGATCAGTCACTGCTTCTGGATTGCTTCATCTGTTCGTTTCATTCTTTGATTAGTTTTTTTTTGGTTTTTTGATTGCGTCTCTTAAATTATTTCCCAATTGTGCTATTTTTTTAACGATGATGTTGCATTCGTTCGATTCACTTCGTTGCATGTTTTATTCATTCTTGCATTCATTTTTCATTCGTATTCATCACTTCATTTGTATTCTTTTTTTTACTTTCATAACAAAGTTTCATATTTTATGTTGAATGAAGCATCGGTACTGAATGAATAATGGCGATGCATTGAGATCTTATTGTTAGGAGTGTGATTTGAGTTTGATTTTTTGTGTTCAGTGATAATAGTAATGTTGCTTTTATGCATCATTCGTTTTATTATGTCTGTTCTCATTTATTATTGATGGTGAATTGTCCACGGGAGAATGTCATAGAAATATAGTTACGAAAAAAACGGAGCGGTCAAAAGATGCAACTCATGAAATGAATTAAGAATAGTTTGTTTGGTGCTTATATTGGTCTGAGATGATGAAGAAATAACGATGTTGAGGAAAGTAAACAACTGGATAATGTGTATAGACAATGTCTGGTTGAAAAAACTTGAAAATTAATCAAATTATCAATCATGTTATTAGGGATATTGAGTGAATTATTTCACTGAAGAATTGGCGTAAACAATATGGTGTGCGCATAACCTGCAATTACAAATACCTATTTATTTATGTTTGCTGCTTCCAGTTTGCAAAGGAGCATTTGCTAACTAGATTTTTCTGCTGCATGTTTCATATGCCTTCTGGATGGTGAAAGCACCTAACACAATGGGCTATGTATCCTGAATTACACCATCAAATGTAACGACTGCTTGTGTTGAATCGTCTATCTCAATTTTGAGAAATTGAACGAAAGCAATAGCATTAGCAATCGATTCGCGAATTTATAACATCAACGAATTCAAGAGTTGAATGATACTGGTAATAATGATGATGATTATCATAATAATACCAATAAGAATAATGATAATAATAATACTAATAGCAAAAATGATAGTATTGCTAACAACAATATTGATAATGCCTTGAGAGCACACCCTTGAAATTGCAAACATTTTTGTCGAAACATTCGTTAGCAACGTCGACATTGCAATAAAATAACAGCGATAAAGATAAAACAAAAAGTATGGCGATAAATGATCCATCCGCCTCTTCGACATTCCGATTCATTTGTTATCATATCGATCTTATACATTCTCTGCTAAGTCTACAATACGCTAAATGCCTTTATGGAAACATCTAGACTTTGTGAATCATCGCTTTAGATTCCTCTCGCGATTCACTAGTCGCGACATCAAGATTGAACAGCGAGATTGGAACATAAGTTGTTTGAATACGGAAACAATGATCCATTAGCTGAATGAATGTGTTGGAAACGGTTTTATGCCTACGAAAATATCACATCACACCTCAGCATCAGTATCTTCCTTTAGGATGAATGTCTTTCCTACTCAGCGGAACCAACAGAAAATGACAGGAACTATATTTGCTGGCGACACCCACAGTACCATCATCAAATCACATCCGTACTAAACTGATCTTCATAGTTTCCTATTTATCATTGACTTTATTGCATGTTTATTGTGCTGTTTGTTGTTTAATATTGAAGTGGCCGTTGTTAGGTAGCATGAAATTTATCTCTAATTGATATCACCACTTCATATCTCTCTGTTTCCCCATTTTCGAAATGATCACCCAATGCGATCGTCGAAAATATCGTCGAACATGTTTTTTCCTAATTAATCTGGACATTGAGTGAACTTTGAATGAGCATTATTTCTAGTGATTCTCCTCGCAGCAATGAACGCTATTTACTCAGTCGTTCTTAAATTCACAAATTGCAAACATTTTGATTCAATCAGTACATTACTTTTCACATTGTGCACTAATTTTAAGCCGTCCAATTGATTCGTTCAGCGCTTAATTCCGGTCAGACAGTTCTGCGCTACTTGATTTTCTATAGTAGATTTACTGGCTGGGTTGTATTGTGCACTCCTCATTTCCGCTCTATCAAAAATACCATCCCTTGAATTTTGTCACCCCAATACTTGCAAAAATGAAACCTCCTCTTTGTGTCCACATACCTTTTCATTTTTCCCTAGTGTTGTAAATATCTGAAAACATCCTAAAACTTCTAACACCCATTTCCCCAAAAGTGGAAACATCTCGGTACACCCATCTATTGATTTGCTGCTGTTTCGTATTCACATTAACCCCATGTCCTCATCTTTGATAAATCCACAACTATTAACGATTAAACATTTACAGGATGCGCCTAGTAGTTCCTTGGAATTCCTCTGGTAAATGAATTTTCCTGGTTATATCAACGAAAAAATTTCCAGTGTCCCCAACAAGCTTTATGACAAGTGTTCGGCGGGAAACAATTTTTCGGTTCGGGGGAGGGGGGGGGGGGGGGAGGAAAGGAGAGGTAACCGGAGAAAACGGCCGAGGAGGAACTTAACTGTGGAGGGTCCCCGCGTCTGTAGGGGGACTCTGACGAAAGAGTCAATGAGCAAAACCGTCGGCGTGGCGTCGAGTAACGACTAAATCGACTGAATCGAGGAATCCACGTCGCGGAGGTCGGGAAAGAATTCAATGCAATTTTAAAGAAAATTTCACCTGCTGATGTACACTTCTGAAGGGAAACAAAAACTTGATTCAATGAAAGTAACTTTTAATGTCAAATTGCTACAATCTGAAAAAAAACTTAGAATGCCACTGTTTCAAATTTAGTTGACAAAACTGAATGAAAAATACTCGACAGATAAAAGTGACGCAAAAATAAAAGATGATTATTTAAGAGTACGAGCAGTGGAATAAAAAGAATACATGTATTGGTTGATAAGCTGCAAGACAAGTGCACATTCACTAATGTATGTTCATAACAGTACTGAATGGAGTCGTCGAATCGTAACTACTACATTTTCGAAAGACTCAGTTAATGTGATAATGCCAGTTTCCGGGAAAATACTTGGAAAAGTATAGTTTTCTCTTCCATACAAGGTGAAGAATGTGTTCATTGTATGCAATTTGACATGTAGAGTCCTGTACAGTGCAGTTTTGGGCAGTGAACTTTACGGTTTTTGACTATTCGCTGCATTTTCACGGTGTTTTGTGATCAGGCTGTAAATACAGGTCTAAGAAGAATCCATTCTGGATTTTACGAGCAAATAGTAAAAAATAGACGTACTTTAATCCTTCGTAATCCTAAGCCTAAGCATAAATCTGGACATAAACACTAGGCCTGAATATGAACGGGAACCCGATTAGATCGGATAAGGCTGAAACACGTAGATTGCCATGCCTATACGATGTTTATATTGCAGATCAAATAAGCATTTCGTAAACATTGCTCAAAAGTTATGGCAAAAAGTCATTCGCCAATGATTTGCCAATCTCCACAGTCCTGCCCTGACATCGCGACATTGGCATAAGGGGATTTCCTCACCCTTATGAGAAGAATCATCGTCAAATTGTGATGCTTTTGAGCTATTCCACATCATTATCAGGATGTGTCAGAAGTGCTTTAAGCATCACTTGATTGAATGAAGCTCACGCGTAGGCTCAGTTCTACTCTTAGGCTTGGTGTCAGCCTTAGGATAAGGCTTACGATAACTTTTAACCTTTTTAAGGAATGAAATCTACTGAAGTTTTTCCCTGCTGAAATTACCCTCTACGAGATTTTCCCATTGTTTTAAGTTTTGTCATGAAACGTTCGAGCACAGTTTAATGCGGTACTTGTGCTGTTTAGTCCCCCCACCCGTACGCAAGATCACGCGCGCGTGCACATAGCTACGCCCACTGGGTGCTAGGGCATGGCCGAAGTCAGCGTAACAGAATGGGTGTGGCCTAAAGCGCGTATGACAACGTGCGGCGGTGTTGTTGANAGCGCAAATGGTAATGCACGCTTGTCTGCGTGCGGGTGGAGGGACTAAACAGCATACGTGCTTTTAATGCGAACAAAATTAGAAGAGTTCGATCGTGGCATTTGGCGAAGTGTCATCATGCTTTACCGATGCTTCAATAGCGAAACTTAAGCGAACCTCAAATGTCGATTTATCGGTTGTGACATATAAATTGACTACGCTTTTGATTGTGATCGTTTACGTAACGTGTGTCGTTTCAAAGCTTTATTTGTGTATCGTTACGTTCGTTGGTTTGTATAGAATATGGAATTCGCAGAGAAAGAATGACAGTGTGGTAGTGGCTCTTCCTTGTTTAAATGAATTGATATCATCCTCGTGTATTACTCACAGAGCCTATCACTAACTTCAGTACCCAACGGTTTTGGCGTCCTAGTCACATGCTCCATTCGTACGTATTCAAATTATTATCACTAAAACTGAGTGTACGTAATTTTTAAAAACAACTAAAGTGCTCCATATGCATGCATCAAAAATTATTTCGAGTCATGTTCATACAATCCAAGCGACACTGGTTGTGAGAAGCTCTGCTTATGAAGGTTGCTCATCACTTCGTTAAAATCTATTTCGGAACATCTTCAAGCGTGCTCCTCCCATTTAGAACTCTTATTTTACAACTCGAAGCGGTGGCTGATTCAGATCAGTTTTATTAAGTATGCTAGTGAAAATGTCGATGAAGATTCATCGCAGCACTGACTGGATTAATGATATCGGTTTGGAAATTCATGAACGTACGTTCGGATGCTCCATGGCTATGGAAAAACTATACGTTGGTGTGGTCTTGTGTTTGTTTCTAGACTGTACTTAACATCATATCCGCACTCTTTGCCGTGCTCTTATGCTTAACTCAAATTTATTTTCAGGAATCTTAGATATCAGGTCAGTTTTACTCAATGCATTATTTCATATAATTACAGGCAGCAGCATTATCAGTCAATCTTCTTTCAGCTATTCCATGTGATCCTTCTTGATATAAAACCGATCAATTTAACCATAGCGTTTTGCTTCACAAAAATGGTTTCCTTGGAAAATTTCAAGTTTATTTCATGCTCGTTTCTCAACTGTTAAATGTCTATCACATCGTATTCACTGCTCATCTCATCTCTTTTCTCTTGTGATCCTTATTCTCTAATGTCATCTCACAAGACGTTTAAAATCACGATTTCCATTCTGAAATGGATTCCTCACATCTTTTCTTCATGACGCCCTCCACTCCTTCCCCCTTTCTCATTCTCTCCCTGTATTCTCACGTTTTCAGCAGTCTGATGTCTATGATTTACATCCGAACTATTGCGTACGTCGTACCAGTTGTGAGATCGATCAATCATAAACCAACTGAGATATCGTTTCAACGAAAGACGAATGTATTTACTGCAAAAACTTGTACATTACTGTTGGTCGTGGGCTTTATTCCATCAAATCAATGTTCTAAAATGGCACGATTATCTGTATTCGACGTTTATCACCGACATTTCTGCAAAAATTCTTTCACTCTATATTTTAAACCAATGCTTCCAAAAATATTCTGTCGTATCCAGAAATACTTTCCTAAATTCTTTGATCCGATTGTGATTAGATTAAACAGTCATCCCTCGATCATTCTCTGCTCATTACTTGCATTCGCGACTATCTTAGTCCATTAATGCATAACCTTCACGTTAATTCGGGATTTCTTTCTTGGTACCAGATATTTTAAATAATGTATGTTTTCAACTATTTTCCGATACAATTTCTGATGATTTGTTCCAATGATTATGTGACATTTCGCATTTACTGAAATCCTAGTTTTAAATGTCGTTCCTTGGCCTTTATTGGCTCAATTCTTGTGTATAGGATATCACTGTGGTTACGTTTCTGAAAACGACTTTTGTAAATATCCCATTAGCAGGTTCTTTGAGTAGTTTAATAGCCAGTCATCCAACAGAATTGATATGGTTGGATCCATAGATTTTGATATTATTGTGAGAGGGTTGGTTAACATCTCACAGAATGCCGTTCCAAACATGCCTTAGCGGGAAGGATGCAATGTTTGAAAAATACCCAAAGTGAAGGTGCAACACATTTTTTAAGTTTTCTGGATACAGAATCTGCGCATAGCCCTTTCTTTGTAGCTTATCAGAATTTATTTTGTTTTGCTTCACTCGTTCTTTCAGTTATTTCCATTGTTTTGATGCTCTTAATACCAATTAGAACTTGAATATTTATATATTCATTTGTTAATGTTTACAGTAGGTCTTGCAACGTTTTTGCGCACGTAAACTACTGAATGATGTCAGTTCATCATTACTCGCGATTACTGGATCCGAAAACGTGTGATATCTCTGAAATGACACTATCAAACAGAGTATCAAGTAATTAGAGACGATTTAGCAGTGTTAATGTGCGCAGTTATTGAACGTTTTCATCCATAATTATTTCGTGTTTCGTGGTATATAT